AGGGTCTAGGCCCGAAATGTCAGCCTTCCTGCTCCTCTGATGCTGCTTGGCCTGCTGTGTTCATCCAGCTCTACACCTTGTTATCTTACATTTATCCACATTATACTGCATCTGCCATGCATTTACCCACTCACCCAGCTTGCCCAAATTACAATGAAGCACCTCTGCATCTTCCTCACAGTTCACCCTCCCACCAACTTTGTCTCATCTGCAAATTTGGAAGTATTACATTTAGTTCCCTCATCTAAAATCAATCATTAATATATAGTGAATAACTGATGTCCCAGCACTGATCCCTGCGGTACCCCACTAAGGAATGGGTGAATAAGCAAAAACTGCGGCAAATGAATAGCTAATTGCCAGAAAGAATGGAAGGTCTTTCTGTCAACAACTGTAAGGATTCCTAAAGGTAGCTGAAACTGGAAAGTCTTAAATCACTTCCTAGTACCATGTTTCCTGCTTTTTGACACAACAGAATAACTTCTCTACTTGGAAAAGTGCAACGCAATCTTCAACTTGACTCATTTTATCTCAGTCATTCTAGGAGGCACTTTTGTCTTTTGGACATACAAGTGCAACCCTCTTCATTCACTCTCTTAAATGATGCTTCAATTATTGAAAACTAAAAGTATTTAAAAAAATAGAAAATTGAAACCAGCCTTTTATACCATGACCAATAACTCTCCTTAAGTTGGTTATGCAGCACTGTATCAAATGCCTTCTGGAAATCCATTTAAACCACCAGCACTACCCTCAATCCTTTCGGTTATCTCTTCAAAAAAATACTATGAAACATTACGATTACTATTCATAATTTTAATACACCTATGATAAATATATAAAATAAAGCATGGCTTTAAAAAAACTAGCATGTTAAGGGAGATTGTTAAAGAAACTCTTACCTCAAACTTGTCAGGTACTTCAAGCTTTGGCGAAGGAACTCCGACAAGGAAGTCAATCAATACCATAATTAGTATGGTAAGAAACACAGCGAAATCACTGATAATGGCTCTCACCTACAATTTCAAAAAAACTTGTTAAATATATTGCTGAAAGTGTGTTAGAGTTTCTATTTCATCAATCCACACTGTGGTAGCAAACGCTGATTGTAATCAGAAAAATCAGGGTTTCAAATGGCCGAGGAGTCAGTACTTTAAAAAGGCAATGCTGCAGACCACCTCCACAAGATAATGTACAAAAATACTTACTTTAATGTAAACCTGAAGTGCTCTTCCTAACCCCACAAATGTTTGCACCTCTTTTTTATCCCATTTCTATTCCTTTCCTAGTAGCCTTTTTAAAACAAAGACATTTGAGCAATACAGCATCTTGATCTACCCCATCCAAGAATTGGGTGAGAAATCCCCACCACTTCCACAGTCCTGCAGGAAGTTAATCTCATTGGAAAATCCATTTTATCACCCTTCCAAATAATAATCTCCTGAAACTATGAACAAAATAAATCAGGATGGTCACACGATCCCAAATGTTTGCCACCGTTTAATTGGCTGTTGGCACTCAAACAGCACCAGTAATGCTCATGCTTTTTCTCCCACATTGTAGGAAGATCCCAGTTTCTACCGGGACTGTGAAATTATATTCTCCCTTTAAAAAGTAAAAACAGAAAATAAGGTCAATTTACCATTGCTGGCACATTTTAAATTTAGAAACAGCAATGGAGTGAAGGGTGAAGAATTCTGGTGCAAGCAAATAAATTTTACTTATCTCAGGTGCAACCTAGACAGTATCATTCATCACTTATCATGTATACTAGCTTTTATCTCTTGGCAAATGCTACCCTCTATTAGTTCTGTAGAGATTAATTAGTTTACTAATTTATATACTACAAATGCAAACATTTATTAAATACAATCTGGCAGGAGATTAGTACAATTAAATTCACTTAAATTATTCTAGAAAAGTCTGATAAGCTGTTACCAAAAGATATGCAGATCATGAAACAGCAAAATATGAAAAACAGAAAGCATAAAAATAGTGAAGTAAATGGGGCATGACTACCATGATAGATGAAGAGAAGGCAAAAGACAGGAATGTAACATTATTGGGGCTGTGAGGGGGGTGTTGAAGAGTTGGGGGATGAGGCAGTGTTTTTTTTTTAGGAGAATGCTTTTCTTCAGCATTGTCAGTTAGGGTGGGTGATTAACATGAAAGCTGGAGCACCACAAGTATGAGAGTGCAACAAAATGCTGATTTGACACAAGTGGTGCCATTTTTGAACTCAATGTTCCTTCTTAATCTTGTAATTAGGGACATCTGGTAATAAGAACGTCTAAGTCGACTAGTGCTACTTTAATACTTCCAAGCTGGCACTGACAGTATCCCAGTGAAAAACATTTGATGGTTTATATTGCTAGTTAAAAAGGTGGTGAACTCTACAAGAAGTGGTGTTGAAATTGGTTAAGGCCCTGGATCTCTTCTACAAGAATTCTGTTCATAACGCTTCCACCCATTTGAAAGTGCTGCAGATTCTGTGCTCTTTAGCCTTCACTATGAGATGGAAATAAGCAGAGGTAACAGAAGAGGTCAAACTGTTCAATGTGGAAGGAGGGACAAGAGTCTCGATTACCTCATTGAAGATCACCATTTTACTGAAAAAGGTGGTCACAGAAATATCCTGGTGTATCACAAACGTGCGAACAGCATTGCCAGTGGCGATCATGACCATCAAAAACTTTATGCTGGAGCAGGCAACATATCCCAGCATCTTATAGTTAACTATCCATTGCTGGATCTAGACACTCCGCATGTGACCAAAGTGTGTTGTATTGCATGGTTTCTATCCAGAGTGAGCACATCGCTTTACGCTGGACAGCAAAGTTCCTGATGGTGGAGGGGTTATTGACCATATTGTTTCTTTACAGGCACTATAAATTCAAAAATGTAACCACAAAACCTCTAAGCTCTAAATGTCATTAAGCAAAACACTGGCCTGTGCAAGTAATGCATCTGCTGCCTGAACGACATTGGTGGAGCCTTGAAGTACTTGCAAGGGTGCATTTCAGGATTCGTCCAGATTGGCTACATCCTGTACTAAAGTGAATCCTTGCTACTAGATATATCACGACCAGCTGAGGGAGGTGGGAGAAGAGAAATGGATAAGGAAGTTGGGAGGGAAGAGAATACCAACATAAAACCAGGTTGTCCCTGATTGTTGCATTCACTGATACAGCAATTGGTGGAGCCAATGTTTTCCCATTTAACAGTCCCATACTTTCCCTGTATCTGATCATCACAACAACATTCTCTGGATCACAACACAAAAAGTCATACAAAACAAAATGTTCCAAATCAATGTCTTCAAACCATCCAATAGTTCATTCAAAAGTAAATTAAATTAAACACCGGTGTGAATTCATTTAATGCCGTTTCTGTGCTCCACTACAGTTTTACTCCAGCGTGATTAATCAAAGGCTTCAGGTCAGGAAGACAGCTGAAGGCTGTGAAGAACAACCTGCACACATCTCTAGTTGCACAAAGACCCCGCACCTCCCTTTCTCTCCCAGCATGGCAGCTGTCTATGCTAGATGGCTGACAAGCAACAAGGACTTTGGCAGTTTTGGGAAGATGAATGCCATCATGTTGAGACAGCATTTGGTGTCCCATAGTGCCATTACACATCCATTAATCTATTGTAGCACAGAATATTGGATTACTGTGAACGGTGCCAATCCTTTGAAAATGGTTAGTCACAGCCATGAGGATAGAAGTCTCAGCATATGTGGCAGGAGACACAATTCACACCTTCACTCTGCAAATATTGCAGCACATGCATGCAAGATGGCCTCTGCTTGGGGCACAATGGAAGCAGTGATGTCAAGAAATGCTGCTTCACGGTTGTATCTAAAGTGTAGTAACAGAACTGGGCACCAATTCCATGCTGGGCTCCAAGGTCTGCACTGTGTGCCAGGTTACTGTCAGATTCCTCCATACCCCGACAGTGACTACAAGCATTCTATGTGGTTTGTCAATGCATCAAGAATTGCTGTGGACATATTTACCATCTTTTCCTTCACTCTGTCCCGTTAAAATTCTCATCCAAATTCGGAGTGGAACTCGCACCTGGCCTCAATGCAGAAGATTGTTAATTTAATGGGCTAATGTACCATAGCATCAAGTTTTCTATACTGAAGGGCGATGCCCATCTCAATTTTTGTTTTGTGATGCTGCAGGTAGCTTTGAGTTGATCCACCAATCCCAGGAGCAGATGGGAAACAGCGACAGGGATGGGTATGTTACAAAACTTGCCTCAGTCCATCCCAGGTTTAAATGCTGTTGTTAAGTCACCTAGTCCTAAGCCCTCACACTAACCACTCTCCATTCCAACACAGGTCCTTGCCAACACTCTATTCCACTTCATGCTCGTAGGTCAACAACATATCCACTTTTCCAGCATTCACTATGGACAGCCTTCAAAAAGTTACGTAGAGACAATAAAAATTCTAACAATCTAATAATGCAAGAGATACTTGATATAGGAAAAAAAAATTGAATCCAATCATTTTAAAACTCAGATTTGTATTTAGCAAAGACAGCAATACCTTGTCTAACCTCAGTTATCAAAATATGACCAATATATGCCAACTGAGAAGTAGTCTTTGATTTTTTTTTTAAAATTCAGACAAGCATTTATAATAGGCTCAGCTGTACTAGTTGTCCTTCTAAAATGTCCAGAGTTTAACTGAAGTTGAAGGAATAAAGGGCTAACCATTTTTGTCGCGTGCCCTGTCAATTAAAACACTCCAGCAGCTACTGTTTATCTTTAAACATACAGTAGTAACCTTATTTCCCATTAAAAAAGGGTTGGAGATTTGAAGAGCTTCAGATCATGACACTTGGATCTTGCTTGCCCTTAAGAACATGTCCAATTTGGAATAAATGGGGGAGGCAATGGCCTAGTGGTATTATTGCTGGACTGTTATCACTGAGATCTAGATAACATTCTGGGATACCTGGGTTTGAATCCTGCCATGGCAGACGGTGGAACTTGAATATAATAAATATCTGGAATTAAGAGTCTAGTCTAATGATGACAGTGAAATCGATTGTTGATTGTTGGAAAACCCATCTGGTTCACTGATGTCCTTTAGGGAAGGAAACTGCCATCCTTACCTGATCTGGCCTACATGTGACTTTAGACCCACAGCAATGTGGTTGACTCTTGACTGCCTTCTGGGCAATTAGGGACAGGCAACAAATGCTGCTTAGCCAGTGATGCCCTCATCCCGTGAATGAATAAAGGAATAAATCTGTGACTCCACACCGCAGGTTAGGGCTATTGGAACATCAAGAATGGAATTTATTTGAACTCAGTAAAAAATTAAACATGGCCCCATTTAGTCTTCCTGCCTACATAATTTATGTCTACACCTTTTTCCCTGCTGGCAAAAATGGAATCTGCTGGAAATTAATTTAGGACTTCCACACATTGGTGGATGGGACCAATCTTAAGGGTCTCAGTCGTCAGCCTAACTCTGCAAATGTCGGAGTCATAGTATCACTGTTGCAGTTGCTGGCTGCATGAACAAAAATAAATGAATGGGGTTTTATCTTCATTGTCCTCCTGCTCTTCCATCAATGCCGGTCAGGTTACAGTTTTTGGGGTATATAAAAGGATGAAGCTACAAGGGTTGCAGCATGAGGAAATGAGAAACCAGAAGTTTACTGTCTTAATGATCTAATTTGCAAGTGACCCCTGAGGGGAAGTGAGATGAGAGTGAGGAGGATTAATTATGAACTGTCAGTCAGTCACTCAAACAATGATGGGTGCCTTTTCCATCATCAGCATGTGGAATTGCAGTTAAGCCTATCCACTTGCCACTCAATGGTTGTGCCCTTAACTTGGAAAGCATAGCTGCCATGCGTGAAAAACTGGCAGTGTGCACAACTGTAAAATTGAAGCATGAAGGCTGCAGTGTTCATGAGTGCATGAGGGCAAAGGAATGCTATGGATGTGTAAAGTGAGGCCTGATTTACAAAAAGGTTGGTGATGGTAAAGTGAAGGATTATCTTGCATTAAACAATGCATGAGGCTTGTAGTACAGTTGTGAGGATTTGACACCTGAAAATGTGTTCACTCACCACTTGACATCACTGAACATTGTGGCACCGATCCGGATAATCAGGATTGGTTTGTTACCATGACTACTATGACTACAAAGCATCTATCTGGAAGGTCTCCTGATCCATTATGGGAATCTATTTCCTGACTACTTCCTAAACAAAAGGTTCCAGTGCTCACTAAAATCTAGTTGCATTTTGTCTACTTTGCTACTCTTGGCTGTTTCTCAAGGAAAACACATTGCAAGAATGACTTCAAGCACCCTAATCCAGTCAAAATGCCATCTTTAAGAGATGCAAATTGCTTTCAAATAGCACAGATTAATTTGAGCTTCTATTAGACTTTCATGTTTTTCTGTATCTCCTGCTTAGATATTTAACCACACAATAGCACATGTAATGCACTTTGAACACTGTTCACATAAGGCAGACAACATGAAGTTTGGGAGCTGGTTGTATCAGAAACAATAGACTAGGATTAATCATGTTGGGTCAGAAAGGGGAAAGACAACAATGATTCAGATTTAAAAACACACATCCAAATATCTAACACTTTGACATATCTCGAGCCAAAGTAAATCAATAAAAACGGCATGGGTAAGGATTTCACCAGCAAGTGAGCAGAGATTAGTAATGCTCTGAAAGTTGCAGTTGCTTAGTGTTGCCGTGGAAAGTTTATTGAACTGGAAACTCAGTTTGGGGTCAAGTGAGTCCCACAATTGCAAATAATCCGGTGCAAGGCTGTTGAACTTGTTAAAGGCCTTTCCATTGTTAACTGAATGAACTGGTCAGAAATGGGGATATTTGCTGATGTTTGCTCAATGTTCAGCACCATTTGCTACTTCTCAGATACTGAAACAACCCATATTCAAATGCATCAAGATCTAGACAATATCTATACTCAAGAGATAACATTCATGCCACACAAATGCCAGGCAATGACTGCCTCCAATAAGACACAACGTAATTCCTTCTCCTTGACATTCATTCAGTGGTGTGCTACATATACACATGTATAAAAGTCGATTCACCCACTAACAACCTAGGGGTTACCAATGACCAGAACGTGAACTAGACTTGCCATATAAATACAGTGGCTACAAGAGGAGGTCAGAGACTAGGAATACTGCAGCAAGTAGCTCACCTCCTGACTCCCCAAAGCCTTTCCACCATCTGCAAGGTACAACTCAGGAGTGTGATGGAATATTCCCACTTGCCTGAATGGGTGCAGCTCCAACAAAAGAAGCAGCTTGACACCATTCAGGATAAAGCAGCATGCTTGACTGGCCCCACATCACCAAGCATTCACTCCTTCCGATGACATTCGGAGGGAGCACTGCAGAATTTTCCCAAAAATCTTTAGACAACACCTTCCAAACTCTAAACCACTTTGATCTATAAAGGATAAGAACAGTAGATACATAGAAACGCCACCTCCTGCAAGTACCTCTCCAAGCCACTCACCATCCTGAATTGGAAATATATTTCCATGCTTTTACTGTCACTGGGTTAAAAATGCCAGAATTTCCTCCCCAAGAGTACTATGAAACCACCTAGAGCACATGGACTGTGCAGTTCAAGGCGGCAGCTCATCATCTTCAAGGACAACTAGGGCAATAAATGCTGGCCAGCCAGCAATGCCCATGTCCCATGAATGACTAAAAAGAAAATTATAGTTCAAAGACTGGATATTGGACAAGCAGCCCAGCTACAGATTGTTGAAGGGTTGAGACTGTACCAATATCCGTATTGATGAGGAACCTAACTCCATATCAATCAATGTTGACACCGAAGTGCAAAGTTTCAATGAGGAAGAGGAGGGGGCCAAAGACAATTACTTTCGGAACTTTAAGATCAGGAACATAACCCACTGGTGAAAGATGCCCTAAACATGACAAGTGTGAAAGGACGTAAAGGAAAAGAGAGTTGGAGAAGAATTATATGATCATTTGCATTAACAATTTCAGATTATCCCTCACAATGTTTCACAGTCAGTTACAAGATTATCATATGTGCCAATGGCTAGATATATTTCAGCCCTGACAGGGATGAAAGTCTTACTGGAGAGATTCAGTAGTGTTGTCACAAATAAGACCAAAGATTAGAAAACATATTTAAATAAAGTAGATTGAAAAAAAAGACAAAGACAAATTCCAGATGATAGGATAGTTTACATTCAAACGCAGAATGTATTACTGCTTACCTTTGTTGGGAAATAACGTTTGGTTTTGAATTGTTTCAGGAAGGAGCAGAGAAAAAACGTTGCAAAGAATAAGATAATTGACCAGAAGAGGACATCAGGCACATAAGGCCCATTTTGTCCACACGCTGGTCCAACAAACACTCCACCGTATCTTCGACAGTTCTAAGAAAGGACACACAAATTAAGTATATATTAATATGTAATTTGTAGACAGGATGTAAAAATGAGCATTTCCACAGCATTCAGCAAACAAAATTTTTCACAAAATGTACTTTAGGAAGACAATGTCTGTGTCCATATGTCCCAAAGAATAACATAAATCAAGCTATGTTGATATACTACATATAAACCTGTATAAAAGTTGATCTCATTTTAAGTTGACTCTTGACTTTTGGCTTAAAAATTTGTAATTATTCATATATGTCATGTAAAAGTAGACCTTCATTTCCAGGGACCAAAACGATCAGCAGTCCCACTCCTCTGGCAATCCTTCGGATTTCAAAGAAAAAGTGGTAGCAGGCAGGAGATGCTATCCAGGAATGTCTTCTTGTCAATCTGCTTGTCCATTAGGAGCTATTTGAACTGATGCTTTGCTAACATTGCCACCGTGGCTAGCTCAAAAGATATCACAAAAAGGACCAGAACCAAACAATTTGCCAAGCTCAGCCTATCACCAATCATCTAATTGCCACTTAAGGCTAACAGTGATAATTGCAACCTGTAAATGTTGATTTACTTTGCCGATTACACAAAAATCTGAGAGTCGGATGCACAATAGGAAGACATTTTATGCGGAGTCACTTGTTAAATGTGACCTTTCTTCACTAGAAAACTTCTTCATTCCAGGAATTAAGTGAATACCTAACTGAACATCATATTACTGAAGATGGGTTAGACATTTTGTACTTAATCCTAAGCAGAATCAGACCAGCAGAACGAAAAATAGAAAGAGGGAGAAATAAGAGACCAGTAACTCTATAGATATTCTAGCATAAACTGGATCAACCATCTTGTCAATGCAACTAGTGCGCTAATACAACACATAGCCATGAAACACTGATAACTCTTGGCATTGACAACCCAAATGGGCAAGTTGCTTCTTAGCATATTTTTGTAGAGGTAAACATAACTGGAAAGCCTGACGTTATTGCTTTCACCAAAGCTCATGTTCATAATCTACAGCAATATTTCTGGTGATTCAGCAAATTTGGTTAGGGTACTTACCTTGACCACAGCCAAAGACAGTGTCAGCATGTCCTCTAAAGAAATTCTCATTCACCTGTACCATTCATGATTAGTTTTGGTTGAAGCCAGTCCAGTGATTCAGTTCTGAACAGCATCAGTAACTGATAATTGCTGGGAAACTCAGCAGGTCTGGTAGCACCTGTGGCGAGAAAGCAGTGTTAAATATGAGTCCAGTGGACTTGAAACTTTGACTCTGCTTTTTATCCACAGGTGCTGCCAGATCTGCTGAATTTCTCCAACAATGTTTGTTTTTGTTTTGTATTTCAAGCATCCGCAATTTTGTTTTATATTACTGAAAATAATCATTTGACTCCACAGGTCCACAAGGTTTTCTTCAACAAGATACTGCAAACAGGAATCTACCAATACATCTATCATGAGACACTTAGCCAATTTTGACTACAACTTAGTAAATTAAATTTTCATGATGACAGTGCAAGCTGTAACCAGAACAGCATCATGACTTTGTAGTTTTGTGACTGGTTTGTGCCATAAAATAACAACCACAAATACAGCAAGCAAAAAAAATAACAAAATGAAGCAGCACGAATTAATCTAAGAGCGCTAGCAGAGTCACCAAAAAAAACTTAGTGTTAAAATTTGGAATCAGGTATGGAGGTCAAGATTTTCTTAAGGGACAAATGTCCCCTAGGTGAATTACATAGTTTATACTTGTTCTAACTGAATGAAGTGATGGCCAAATTATAAGAAGGTTGAAAAAAGATAGAAGCATCCATTTTGATGCAGCATGATCTATTTCTCTTAGCAGGAATTAATCTGCACTATTTAGGCAGAAAAAAATTGGTCTTCACTCTAATGCTGCTATACCTCAAAAGGATAACTAAACCAGATGAGATGGCAAAAATACAATACAAACAAATCAATTTCACAGTAGTGAAATACTTTTTCATAAAGCATACTGAGAAAATTACATGCGGAAATATAGTAACAGATAATCTGAGAATCAAAAGATATCAAAATTAATCTCAAAAACAGGATTGCAATGACTGCAGTACAAAATACTCTCCTTCCATGCATTCAAACAGGCTGACACGACATTGTATAAGGTGCGTTAGTGAAGCATGCTCAAACAGATTTGACTTGCCTTATTCTGCAAAAAGAACAGCTTGTGGGTTTTATTTAGCACAGGCAGATATGAATAATTGGAATGTCTAGCGCAATCTTACATTTAAATTTAAAAACTGTTTAATAGCATACATGTTGAAGTTTACCTTGTTAAAACAATACTCACTGAAACTGTAAGATTCCTCCATGAAATATTATCTGCAGATGTATTTTCTCGATTCCAGTTATCAAGGGTTTTATTAGAAGGATTAAATGGTTCAACACAGGCACACCTAAGAAAATTTATTAAATTAAAAAAAAACACCATATATTAAAAAAATGTTACAAGCAAATGGAAAACACAAATCGCATAATTCCTACTGTGAACTAATTTTATCCGTATTGGTGCTCTGATTTTAAAGCAAAAAGTAAATAGAAACTTCAATAAGACAGGAACAGAGCAAAAGGTGGTGGACGTAGCTCAGTTAATACAAGGATGAGATTAGCACCGATTAACAATCATGGCTCAGAAGATCAAGATCTAGAGTTAGTCAGAGATGAGAAATAACAAGGGAAGTCAGTCAGTGGTGGGAGTGGTTTTGAAGATCTCTTATAACCCTGCACCATAGCTTTGAACCTTTGATCTTTTACTTACAAGTTCTGTGACTGATTAGACCTCTCTCACTAACACCTGAAGGAGGACTGAGGCTCCGAAAGCTTGCGTTTTCAAATAAGCCTGCTGGACTATAACCCGGTGTTGTGTGATTTCTGACTTTGTCCACCCCAGTCCAACACCAACACCGTCACATCAGAGAAACTAGCTAAGAACTCTAGCAGTGGGGCTAAAATGGCCAGGGTGAAGAAACGGACCTTCTTAACAAACGTAAAGATCCTGAAGACAGGTTTGAGTCAAAAGTCCAAAATGTCATCTTTATCACAAATAAAGGACACGAGGGCTCAATGTTGGAAGTTAAAATGCAAGATTACAGCACTTGTATGATTACAGTATTCTTCCAGAAAATACAGTTCCAGTGAGTAAAACTTACAACAAACTAGTAAGTTCTCACATGGATTAGGATGTGTGAATTTACACAATTTACAAGTTCTCTGTTTGAAGATGAAATGTCATTATTTTTTAATACATGCAAAAGCGAAGTACCATAGATGTTGGAGATCTGATATGTATTGTTATTTGTGTCCGTTAAGGTCAAAAAGTCAATTATCCTGCATCTTAAGCAATAACATCGCTAATGTTGGGAAAAGGGCATGAATTTCTCTCCAGAAAGTTCATCGAATAACAATTTGTTGATATGGAAAATTTATGGAAACTGTTTACTCATTCCATTCTATAGAGGTAACTTGTGAAGAAACTTCAATGCTGTACGTGTGAACATACACGTTAGAAGCATGAATAGGCTATTTGACCCCTCAAGTCTGCTGTGCTATTTGTTAAGGGCAAGTCACTTGCAGTAAGGATTTTGTACCTGCCTTCATGATACGAGGAAGACATGTTCAGCAATCCAATAAAAGAAAACTGAGGAGGAAAGGGCAGGGACAAAAGTAGAACTTCAAAACAATCACTAATCCTAGGCAAACAAAATGTATCATAAAAACTAATCAGGACTAAATACTAACAATTCAAAACTTGACTGCATGCATTCTAGGATCTTAGAAGTAGTGCTGAGTTAGCAGATGCATTAGTTGCAAACTTTCAAAATTCCTCAAACTTTGGGAAAGTCCCAGAATGAAAGTCAATAAATGTAATGTCACTCTTCAAGAAAGGAGAATGATAGAATACAGGAAATTATAGGTGAGTTAGCCTAACGCCTGTCCCTGGGAAAAATGCTGCAAACCATTAGTAAGCGTGCAATATCACAACATTAAAGTCTACTATAAATCTATGAAAATGATTTTGAGAAAGGGAAATTGTGTTTGACAATTTTTCAGAGTTCTTTCGGATTGATAAAGGGGAAAAAAAAAACAAAAACAAAAAAAAAAAAAATGCCATTTATTTGGATTTTTAAAAAAGGTATTTGCTAGGATTCCACACAATAAGGTGACTACACGAGCTAAGAGTTCATGGTGTTGAAGGCAATATATCAGCATAAAGAAAGGATAGTACAACAAGCAGGAAACAGTGGGGGAAAATGGATCATTTTCAGGTTGACACACTGCAACTTGTCGAATCAGACAAGTATCAGTATTGGGTCAACAATTTACAATCCATATTAGTGACTTGCCTAAGGAAGCAGATATACTGCAGTTAAATTTGCTGATGATAAAAGGTAGGAAAGTAAGTTACAAAGGAAGATATAGTCAGCAAAGTCATATAGTTAGGTTTCGCAAGGGAGTAAAAATTTGACAGATGGGAGCAAAATGAGGTTGCCCACATTGCTGATGATAAGCAAGGCAGCTTACATACGCGGAGAGATCATAGAATAAAAACCAAAAGAACTGCGGATGCTGTAGATCAGGAACAAAAACAAAGTTGCTGGAAAAGCTCAGCAGGTCTGGCAGCATCTGTGGAGGAGAAAACAGAGCTAACGTTTCGGGTCCGGTGACCCTTCCTCAGAACCAGATCATAGAATGCTGTAGTACAGACAGACCTGGGTATCCTAAAGCAAAAAAAAAAAAAAAAATGCAGATACAGCAGATGATTAAGTTGAATAGAAGGTCTAGATACAACTGTACAGGCATTGGTGAGATCATACCTAGAATGCTGGTGCCTCTTTATTTAACAGGGATACATTCCAGGCTGCTGTGGGAGGTGAGGGAGAAAATAACAGGGGCTCTAAGTCTCTGGCCAGAGGGAAGGTGCCAAAAGGACTGGAGGACAGCTAATGTGGTTGCACTTTACAAGGGTAACAGAGACAGAGAAGTGAGTCTCTCATCAGTAGTTGGGAAGTTATTTGAGAAAATACTGAAGGAAAAAAATAACCTTCATTTAGACAGACAATGCTTGATCAGGGATTTTCAACATGGCTTTTTCAGAGATGTCATGTCTAATAAATCTATTTGAATTGTTCAAAATGACCAAGTGCATAGATGACAGTAGGGCAGTTGGTGTAGTTTATATGGATTTCAACACTGCCTTTAACAAGGTTCCACATGGGAAAATAATAAAGAAGGTAAAAGTTCATGGGATCCAGAGTAACTTGCCAAGTTTGATCCAAAATGGGCTAAGTGATAGGAGACAGAAGGTGGTGGTAGAAGGTCGTTTGTGTGACTGCAGCCCAGAACGCAGTGCCGTAAAACAAGGATGAGTGCTGGTCTCATAATTTGTGATATTCATAAGTGCTGCAGATGAGAATATGGATTGCGGGGGCGGGGCAGGGGGCATGATAAGTAGGTTTATAGATGAAACAAAGATTAGCCAGGTGGTTGACGGTGAGCAAAAAGATGGGTCATAGGAGGATATAAGTGAATTGGTCAGATCAGCAGATCAGTGACCCTGATAAATGTGATGTACCTGGAAGTAGTAACAAGACAACAAAAGAGAACTTAGCACATTAGGAAGCTCAGAGGAACAGAGGGCTCTTGGCGTGCTCGTCCACAGATTCCTGAAGGCAGTGGGAGAGGTTAATGGGGTAGCTAAGGCAGGATACCTTGCCTTTAATCAGTTGATGCATAGATTATAAAAGAGTAGGGAGGTTATGTTGGACCTGTACAGAATTTTGGTTCAGCCACAGTGGAGCAGTGTGTGCTGTTCTGCTCATTATACTATAGGAAGGATGTGATTGCATTGGAGAGGAGTGCAGAGGAGATTCACTAGGATGCTGCTTGGGATGGGACATTTTAACTATGAAGAGAGGTTGGATAAGCTCAGGTTGTTTTCTTTAGATCAGAGAAGGTTGGGGGGTACTTGAGAGAATGCATAAGGTTATGGACAAGGTGGATAGAAGGCAGGTTCTTAACTGAAGGGTCACTAACAAAGGAGACAATTTTAAAGTGAAAGGCAGGAGGTTTAGAGGAAATTTGATAAAAATGGTTTTCACCCAGAGGATGGGGAGGTTCCGATATTCACTGCCTGGGAGGGTAGTCGAGACAGGTAACCTCACAGCCTTGAGAAAGAACTTGGATGAGCACTTGTGTCATAACATTCAAGGTATGGGCATTGTGCGTGAAAGTGGGACTGGTATAGGTAGTATATTTTTGGCAGTACAGACTTGATAGGCCTTCTTCTGCACTGTGTGTTTGAGATTCCCTAACTGTTTTGAAGGTAGTTAAGGGAAGGTTCACCAAGTTGAAGGGGTGCCTTTGAACACATCTTGAGCAAGTTGGGCCTGTCAGTCTTTGGAGTTTAGAAGAGTAAGAGGTAACCTTACGAAACCTAAGATTATGAGGGGTTTTACAGGGTAAGTGCTGAAAAGAAGTTAGCTCTTATTAAATAATCTAGAGCTGGGAATGCAATTTCAGAATAAAGTTGTGTCCCATTTAAGATCAAGAGAAGGAAGACTTTTTTTTTTTGAGTGTTGGTAAATGTTTGGAATTCTCCAACCCCAGAGAACACTGTACATATTCATTGACATGACTTTCAAAGCTGAGTTATAGAAATTTTAGATGTACCCTCCAGTCAAGGGTTATAACGGGCAGACAGGCAAGTGAAGTTGGGTGTCATGATCAGATCAGCTATAATCATGTTGAATGGTGGAGCAAGACTAATGGGCTGAATGGCCTTCTCCCGTTCCTCTGCGATATTCTGTTCTTACTATGCACTGGAACAAAGAATCCCCTCTCGAAGAATGAAACCAAGTACATGGATTATATAAGCAGATATATAATTCGCATAACATACACAGGGCATTGACTAAAATCCCACTCATGTTGAAAATGGGTAAAACAACACAATCTGTCGTCCTATACAGAAAAGGAAATAATTTACACATACACATGGTAAGACTTCACTCAAAGCCAACAATTGTGAAACTCTTACTTATTAAAATAAGTAAAATAATTCCCAATAAATCCCAAATTGGGCTTAAACTAATTCAGTGAAATAGTGTTCGAATATTAAAATACTGCTTCACATATTCCTAAATGCAAGTCCAATTCTAAATTCTGTAAAACAACACTTTTTGTGTGCAATGTTCTATTTTGAGAAATGCCAGCATTCCAGTGTAATTTAATGCACTGGGAGAAATGCTCAAAATAATGCAAACTAATTCAGAGCACTGTAGCACGTCCATTAGTAAATGTGCATCATTGTGATACAAAGAATAGGGAAGGGCCTGACTTCAATTCTCAACTCTCTTGAAATCGATCTGAAATCAGTGATGTCAGCTAGCAACTGCATGGAAATCAGGTGACAAATAGATTGACCTTTTATCAGCCATTTGGCCAGAAGGTAATGTATGCCAACTTAAAATATAAGCCAATAGGATGTGGGAGCACAATTTGAGCATGCCTTGAAACAAAATATTATCTTGAACCTCAATGAAATACAAGTCCTTTTCCTGTAGGATTTGATTAAAATTCTGAATGAAGAAATTTTAATTGTAACATTAGAACAGTTAGTGGTTTAAGGTCCCAAGATTTATTATTTGCACTGGTTAACTTTTCCAAACTCCCCTTCATGTGGGGATTTGTGCAGATCAAAGTGGGGAAAGGTAGCATTTCAAATTGCAAGTTTGCACCTCCGTCATAAATATTCAGCGCTGAGCAGGTGTGACTAATACAAGTGATAGAAATGCATTTCCTCCATATTAAAGTCAAAGATGTGCTTCTCTCCTAATACATCTTAAAATCAAGTAAATAAAAGAAGAACATTGCAGGAAAAATAAAATTGTAATTAAAAAGGTAGCAGTTTAAGTAGATAAACCCATAAAATGTAAACAGAACTTTTTCTGCTCAACCCATTCGAAGACACAACTGGAGCTCTGCCAAGTTTTGGGCACTACATTAGTTGCATTCTATCATAAGGCCAGCAATAACAAAGCATTGCAAAATAAATGGAACAAATCCATTAGATTAGTAGCAGAAATAAGGAACAAAAATTACGGAGAGAAATATTAAGACATGCCTGGTAGAGCTGAGAGGGTGAAGGATTGTAATATTAGTATTTTAGTATGAAGGCTTTATTTTGTTAAACATAATTGACCAACCATACAGAAAACACAAATTTCTGATTGCAAAAATAATTAAAAATGGAAGTCAGGAAAAAATCTTGAGACTGAGGTCAGAATGCACAAGAATGCTATAAATTTTCTTTCATAAATCTTTGCAAAAGAGGTTTTAAAATGTTATAGGGATCAACTAGAACTAGGTAGGCATTTTGAAAACCATCATATAAATAAAATGCCAAATCACTATCAAATAACAAAACAGCACTACTTTTCAATAGTGAAATTACAGGAAATGCAAGAGGTACCAGCAGTAAATGAAAGAAGTACAAGTCAGATCGAATTATAAAAGCAAAACTCAAGAGGTTTATAACGCTGAATCAGAGATAGTAGGAACTGCAGATAACGCATCAGGTTAGATATACTTAGTAAGGGCATTCTAAAAGGCTTGGTGCACAGCAAATTCTCAATTAAAAATGAATTACAATCTAATCAATGGAAGTTTAAAGATCAATATTATGCAGTGGAGTCACAGAAAATACTTCAATTTGTATTACGAAAACTTAAGGGAACTTTATCGAAGGTTTCAGCTTACGAGTATTGAGTAAGCATTTCCGGATTATTCTGCATATTAAATGGAAACTTCTTTCCCAAAGTAAAGAGCTTTTCCAGTGCTTCATAGATGAATATAATGCAAATAAGAGCAGCAAAGGCCTCCTCTGTGAATCGTGTTATGTAGCAAACCAGGCTACTTGCATCAGTGGCAACCAACATTATGCAAAGCAATGCAGTCCACAGTCCAATACTGGCACGAAGCGAGAGATACGAAAGCTCGTATTCCCTGTTAATAGAAGAAATATGTATTTAACTCAGCTTCTCAACAAGAAAGCTTACAAATAAAATGAAACTGGAGGCCAGTTCCATGTGGCAACATGTAGTTCAAATGTACTGGAATGACTGTCTCACACAGAAATTACATGCTATCTTAGCTATCAATGACATGATAACTTGCTTCTACACAGCTATAATATTTTAGAAGCATCTTTCTTCATTATTTGCAGTGTAAAATTCCAGCTATTTGACAGGCTGGGTGAAGAGAGCCTAACAAATGCTCACATAAGCAGTCAGATTTGTTATGAATACACAGTTACAGAGACGCAGCCATCTGGCTCCTCAGCTATCCACCATTTGGTAAGATCATGGCTGATCTGATTGCAACTTCAAGTTCAAATTCCGATTCCACCCCCCCAAGAAGCTTGCATCCTTTGCCTAACAAAAATCTAACTACCTCTGCCTGAAAAAGTTAAGAGCTCCGTTTCCACGATCTTTTAGGGAAGAGCTCAATAGATATGGGACGTTTTCAGAGAAAAGAAACAATTCTCTTCATATGTCTTAAACAGGCGATCTCTGTTTCCACATCTGCTGATAATTTCACAATTTGCCCACAATAATCTCCATTTGCTGTATGTTTGCCAACTCACCCAATCATTTGCAGCTTTATGTCCTTTTTTACTATCTTTATCTGAAGGCAAACTTAGCAACCGTACCTTCAATCCCTTAATCCAAGTAATTTATTTAAATTGTAAAAGGTAAAGACCCTGGCACAGATTCCTGTTACACACGAGTTACCTTTTGCTAAACAGAAGACAACCCATTTGTACCTATACTGTGCTTCTGTTAGCTAGCTAATCTTTTAGCCATGTCAATGTTTTTCTCCGTACCGTGAGCCCTTAGTTTTCACAATAATCATGCATGTGGCATTTTAATAAGTGTTTTCCAGAAATTTAAGTACAATATATCCCTCAAAGTTTCCCTTTATCCACAGTGCATTACTTTACTTCAAAGATATTTTGTAAGCTCAATTACCTTTGACTTTTCTACGTGCCCTATGATTTTTTTGTTTTTACTAATAGCTTCTAGCATCTTCCCACAGATGGATATGAGCTAACTGGTCAATACTTATCCTACTGTGTCCCTCCCTTTTTGAGTAAAGGAATTACATTCACCATCTTTCAAACTAATTCATCCTTGTACCACTTAAACCTAGGTTTTGCCCAAACACAAAGCAGTTTACTTACAAACCCCGAATGCATGAAAGAAGAAATGGTGGGAACGTGGAGGTGAGGTGTGCTGGTTCAGCCATGAGGGGCACAGCCTCAAGGGGCAGAATAGCTTACTCCTGTCCCTATTTCTATCGTCATATGGAAACGAATTGCATTTCCCTCACATGAATCAGCTTTGGTGCCTTGCTTTTCTCCTCCCCAAGAGACGTATGCAGTGCACCCTCAGGTCAATACATGCCAGAGGTATGGAAAATGATGTTTTCATAAAATAAAATTTTGACTATTTTAGAAATATCCACCTACTATGATTTAAGATGTGCCTAAGTGGTCAGTACAGACAAGCTCATTTTCCCCCTGGAGCTAGAAAGATTCCTACATGCCTGGCCATAAAGTAAAGAAATCAATATCCTTCATTTACGCATTTTCTAGTTGGAGACAACCTAAATCCAGCACCTAGCAATCATAAATAGCTGTCTCAAATTGACAGGGATTTAGAATGGTTTACATTCTTAAAAAAACAGACAAAGCTCAATAGGGCACGATGTGAAAATAGTGCACAAATTTCATCAGAGTAAGGAAGAACATAAAAGAAATTAAGACTGAATTACCAAGCAGAAATCTAAAGAAGAGTTATATCGAACTCAAACAATAACTCCAGTTTTCCTCTCCGCAGATACTGTGGACTAGCTTGAGTTAGTCCACCAGTTTCTGTTTTTATTTTAGATAGCCAACATTCACGGTGCTGTGCTTTTAATTAGAGAGTGTTTATGGAATGATTGGTGAAAACTGATTTCCTGAAAAATGTGCATTTGGGATGTCTCAAATACATCTGCAAATGGAACCCACTATTACTTGCCAAATCACGGCAAAAACAATATGAACCCATGAGCAGCTAATGAATTGGGATAACTGTCTGAATAACATGGAAGCATGGTGGCATCCCCCCACAATCTTGACTTGTAATCATATTACCTTTCTTTCATCATTTGAGTCAAAACCCTGGACCTCCCTTCCCAAAAGCACTGAGAGTGTCTTTCACCCCAAGGACTATAATAAGTCAAGTTCATCACTAAATTCACCAGGGCAATAAACGCTGATCTAGCCAGTGACACCAACATCCCATGAAGGAATATGAAAACAAAAATCTTTTCAGGCCCAATTTCTAATCCAGCATCCATCCCAACAGACATAGCCCAGAACACCATGAAGGCAGCACTGAACTGAATCTTCAAATGAACAGGGTTTAGAAGTCCCAAAGCCGCTTTGACAACTCCTCAGAGAAGCCAAGTGAGTGAGGGGACAATGTTAAGTGGCTAATATGATAGAATGAGTCAAGTGTAGGGAGGCGCAGCCAGTGAGGATGATTGGGGGTTCAATTTTATAGGTAAGCTGTAATTGAAGCAAATGTTACTTCCTTTATTCCTTCATGGATAATTAAAAGTAATAATTGTAGAATCATAGAACCTACAGTGTGGAAACAGGCCATTCAGCCCAACATGCCCACACTGACTCTCTGAAGAGCATCCAGACTCACCCACCTGCCATTTCATTGTAACCCCAAACTTCAAGGCTAATCCACCTAACCTAGGCATCCCATGTCACTAATAGGCAATTTAACACGGCCAATCCACCTAACCTGCACATCTTTGGACTGTGGGAGGAAACCAGAGCACCCGGAGGAAACCCAAACAGACACGCAGAGAACATGCAAACTCCACACAGGCAGGAGCCCGAGACTGGAACTGAACTGGCGCTGTGAGGCAGCAGTGCTCGTCACCTTGCCGCCCTAAGTAAGTTAGAACCCTCCAAGTTTCCGACTCTAACAGAGTTGGGAACTGTTTTGGGAGGTCCCAGATGCCGAATAACTGTCCACCAGAAGTTCAAACCTCCCTGGCAACTATGTATCATCACTGCATCAGGACTTAGAGGGTCCTAAATTGCGCCTTTCAGGGTCTGCTGATTTTCAACTATCCAATGACTCCTGAGCCACTGTAAACATCTTAAACTACTAAACCAATCCGAAAATAAAACTGCCCAAGATCTATCCGCTTCTTCTCCTAATCTCCAAAATTTCTTCAAGTCACATATGTAAAATTCACTGAATGACAACATTTCTCCCCCCCTCCATAGGCTACCATTACAGCTACTTAAAGACTGTGCATTCTGACAGACAAACACTGTACTGTTGTTTGGCTTAAATGTTGACAATCTGTCCTCAGAACAGAACGCATAGCCATAAACAGAGATAGGTGAGCATTTTATGGCTCAACAGCACACAGCAGTACCCTTGCATTTGTCTACAGAACTGTTCATATGCCTCCTTAGTTTTGAATGAGAAAAAGTGGTCATGATTGGACAAAAGTCAGAGTGAAAGCTGGTTTTGAAGAACAGCTTATTTAAGTTAGTATTGTTGCTTGGAAACACACATGCAAACTCCCCTTCTACTCTCATATCACTAACTTGGAACTATAATCATCATTTCTTCACTAATTGTTTGATCTAAATCCTGACTCTCCCTTCCTAACAGCACTGAGGACATACCCAAGATACATGGGACTGAAGTAATTCAGGGACACTGCCCAAGATATTCGTGATGAACTATTAGGGATGCTGGCCAGAGACTGTCACATCACAAATACTGTTTAAATGGAAAAGCTTTATCCACCTTCCCATGAAATTTTAGCTCAATTTCTCTCTTTTCAGATGCAAGCAAACAGGCTAATAGACAGCAGGCGCAAGAAATCTAACCATCCCTAACCCCTCTTTTAGTACAGTGGTTGTGCCCCTACACTGGACCAGGAGGCCCAGGCTCAAGCCCTATCTGTTCCAGAAGTGTGTAATAACATCTCTGAACAGGCTGACTACAAATACAGGTTAAATAAAAAAAGTCCACAGATATGGAGACAAAAAACAGTGTCTTTACCACTGCCCAACTGATAAAATCATATGAAATAGAACAGGAGCAGGCCGTTTGGCCCATCAAGCCTGCTTCGTCAATCAATAAAGGTTATGGCTGATCTGACATTTTTCATGTCCACCTTCCAGCATCTCCCCCACAACCCTCGAATCCCCTACTGATCATGAATCTATCCCAATCTTAAATACACACAAGGACTCTGCCTCACAGAGCTCCGTGGCAAGGAATTCTAAAGATTCTCATTCCTCCGAGACAAATTCCTCCTCATCTCAGTGTTAAATTGGCATCACTTCATTCCGAGATAATGCCCTCTGCTCCTGTACTCTCCCTTGAGGGGAGCCATCCTCTCAATACTCACCCTATTAAGCCCCTTAAAGAATCCTATAGTTTCAATGTGATCATCTCTCATTCTTCTGAACTCTAGTGAGTAGAGTTCCAACCTGTTTAGCCTTTGCTCATAAGACAAACCCTCCATATCAGGGATTATCCCAGTGAACCTTCTCTCAACTGCCTCCAATTAAATATCTTTCCTTAAGTAAGGGGACCAAAACTGTCCACAGTACTCCAGATGTGGTCTCACCAGCACTTTGTACCGTTGCAGTAAAACTTCCCTACTCAGACTCCAAACCCTTTGAAATAAGGGCCAGCATTCCATTAGCCTTCCCGATTACCCACTGCACCCATGTGCTCACTCTGTTTCATGCGCGAGGACCCCCAATTCCCTTTGTATTGCAGCTCTCTGCAGTTCTTCTCCATTTAAAATAATACTGTTCTTTTGTTCTCCCTTCCAAAACAAACCACAATTTCCCACATTATACTCCATTAGTCAACCTTTTGCTTACTTAACCTATCAATATCTCTAAACTGTCTGTATCCCTCTCAACTTCGCTTTCCACCTGTGGTATCTGGCTACAGTATATTCACATCCTTCCTCCAAATCATTGATATACATCGTAAAAAGTTGCTGTACCAGTGATCCCCAAGGAACCCACTGGTTACAAGTTGCCAACCCAAAAATGAACCCCTTATCCCAATTGCTGTTGTTTCCTGCCATTAGTCAATTCTCTATCCATGCCAATTCACTACCTTCCACACCACAGGCTCTTATCAGCGTTATCTGTTATCAAGAACAGAGCAGGCAATCTAAAACAGCTGGATTGGAAAGTTATCCAATGAATTACTAAAAAACAAAATCACAAAACTCGAGACAAAACTTGATTTTCAACAGAATGATTGATGGTGATCAACAGAAAGAGTCGTAATTTGTCCATGTTAACTGATAGGGGCAGCTTTTTCTCGTGAATTGTAATACCAATGTGGCCCATAGCAGAGCTAAACTGCAAGAGAACAACAATACCTACCTCAAATCAAAACTTTTTAATCTTCAAATACGACAGAACATGGAATTGTACAGCATAGGGAGAGGCCCTTCAGCCCACAATGTTGTGCTGAATAGGATGCCAAATTAAACTAATCCCTTCTGCCTGCCTGGTCCATATCCCTCCATTCCTTGCACATTCACGTGCTCATCCGGAAGTCTCTTAAATGCCCCTACCATATCTGCCTCCACCACCACCCCTGGCAGCACATTCCACCTCTTGCCACTCTGTGTAAAGAACTTGCCCCTCACATCTCCTTTGAACTTTCCTCCCCTCACCTTACAATGCATGTCCCCTAGTTTTGGCATTTCAACTCTGGGAAAGTGATTTTGACCATGAACCCTGTCTATAAAATTGAGATGCATAGATTTCTATCAAGTCTCTCCTCAGCCTCCGCTGCTCCAGAGAAAACAACCTGTGTTTTTCTAGCCTCTCCTTATAGTTCATACACTCTAATCCAGGCAGCATTCTGGTAAACATCTTCTGCACCCTCTCCAAAGCCTCCACATCCTTCCTGTAATATAGCAACCAGACTGAACGCAATGCACAAAGTAAGGCCTAACCAAACTCTGAAAAAAGCTGCAGCATAACATCCTAACTCTTGTACTCAATTCCCCGACCAATAAAGGCAAGCATGCCATACGCCTTCTTTACCACCCTATCTACTTGCGTGGCCACTCTCAGGCATCTATGGACTTGAACCCCAAGATTCCTTTGTAAATCAGTGCTGTTCAGGGTCCTGTCATTAACTGTATACTTTTCCTTAACAATTGATCTCCCAAAGTGCAGCACCTCACACTTACACGATTAAACAATCGGCCATTTCTGCAACTGATCTATATCCTTCGACAACCTTCTACACCAACTACAAATCCACTGATCTTTGTATCATCTACAAATTTACTAACCCACCCATCTACATTTTCATCCAAGTTATTTGTATATATATCTCTCAAACAGCAGAGGTCCCAGCACTGGTCCTTTTGGAATACTAGTCATGGACCTCCAGCCTAAAAACAACCATTACCCTCTGCCTTCTATGAGCAAGCCAATTCTGAATCCACGCGGACAAGTCACCGTGGATTCCATGCATCTTAATCTTCTGGATGAGCCTACCATGAGGGACCTTGTTGGAAGTCTTACCGGGGCAGCACGGTGGCTCAGTGGTTATCACTGCTGCCTCACTGCGCCAGGGACCAGAGTTCGATTCTACCCTCGGGCAACTGTGTGGAGTTTGCACATTCTCCCAGTGTCTGCATGGGTTTCCTCCCACAGTCCAAAGATGTGCAGGTTAGGTGGACTGGCCATGTTAAATTGCCCATAGTGTTCAGGGCTATGTAGATTAGGTGGGTTATAAGGGGATGGGTCTGGGTGGGATGCTCCAAGGGTCAGTGTTGACTTGTTGGGCTGAAGGGCCTGTTTCCACACTGTCAGGATTCTATATCTATATCTAAATCCATGGAGGATTCTGACTCAGCGATACAGAAGGAACAGCAATAAATTTCCAAATCACGATAGGGAGTGATGGAAGAGAATTTGCAGGTAGTGGTCTTCTTTTGTATCTGCTGCCTTTATCCTTCTAGATGGCAGTGGTCAGTGTTTGGCAGATACTTTCTAAGAAGTCTTGGTAAATGCCTGCGTGCATTCTGTAGCTGGTACAAACTGCTATCACTGTGCAGTGGCAGAGATGCCGCAGAGCGGAGATGCTTGAATTCTAAGAACCACCATCCTCCTTTGTGCAAGGAATGACTCCAATCGAGACTTTCCCCATTAGTCCTATTGACTCTAGAGCTCCTTGACAGTACCATTTAAATCAAATGTTACTTTGATGTCAAGGGCAGTCAATCTCACCTCACTTCTGGAGTTCAGCTCTTTTGTCCAGATTTGAACCAAGGCTCTAATTAGGTGAGATAGTAAGGGGCCCTGGTGGAACCCAATCCGAGTGTCATTGCTGCATGGTAACATAGCTGAGTAATCATCACTTCACCGATGATCGAGAGAGTGGGATTACAGGGTGGTAACTGGCTACATTGGGTTCATTTTTTTGTGTGTGCAGGACATATCTGTACAATCATCCGGTGTGTCAGGTAGATGCCAGTGTTGCAGCTGTACTCTAACAGCAATCTTTAGCCAGATCTCTTTCATCGATGCGATGAACTCCCCCTTCATTGACGATCAGGGTATTTGAGGAGCCTTCTCCTCCAGTGAATTGTTTAATTGTCTAACACTATTCATGATATGGCAAGACTATATTACTGTGACCTAACCCCACTAATTGGTTGGCGTGATCATATGACATACATCTAAGTGTGGCTAATCTGGAATTACCAATCTGGAAGTTTGACTTGTCACAGGCATTCTTTTAGCAGATTTCCTATTCTACCAAAAGGAACGGCTGATAACTTGGCCACAACAGGAGACTCATTCTGATTTGACTCAATTGTTAACCAATCAAGTGATAAAATTTTTTTTTAAAAATTCATGTATTTCTAAAATTCATTATAGTAGCAAGACCAAATTAAATTTAAAGTCTGCACTTGGATTTGCAGAACAATCCTTGATTGGTTTTACTCAGCTCATTTAAAGGAGTGCCAAATAATCAGGGCTCTCCTTTCTCTTCTTTCCCCAATGAGAGAATTCATTTATAAAGAACATAAGAACTAGGAGCAGGAGTAGGCCATCCAGCCCCTCGAGCCTGCCCTGCCACTCAATGAGATCATGGCTGATCTTTTTGAGACTCAGCTCCACTTAGCCGCCCGCAAACCTTAACCCTTATTGTTCATGCTTGCCCTTTATTCTAATAGATTTGAACAAAATTCAGCTTTGACAAGTGACACAATCCAGCAAAATGAACCACTTAGACCATCTCATTTACTTGGTGTTCTACTGTTGCGTTTTCAGTACCTTTACTGAAGTTGATTTCTACACGGCCCACACAGCTGCATTATGCATCATACTTTACAGCACAATATAATTTTCTTCTCTGTAGTGCTAAATAAGGGAAATGTTCTTACTTGCATAACTTGAATAATATTTTTTCAAACACCAATACAGGTCCTGTACTTCCCAAAATTGTAAGCGGCTGTCCAGAAAATAAGGAATACACAATTCCTGTCATTGAAGCCCCGAAGAGAGATTCTATTGCACTCTAAGAAAAAAAACAAATCAGAAATTTATTTTTGTCTGCTTATTTATTTTATATGGTTTCTTTGTTTCTTGTTCCTAGTTTTGCATTGGAAAAAAGAAATAAGTTGTTTTGCAGATTGCTCCAACAGCATCCCAAGTGTGCTATGAATTGCGATGTAATCTACAGTTTCAGAAAAATTTAGTTAAGTTTTCAGGCTTAAAGTTTAAGACACCATATATTGCAACCGACATTTTGCATAGAATCAAGATTTTGACTCCAGCCTGCATCCTCCCCAATTTTAACCAAATTTGGTCACAGGAAGTGAACATTACTGACTGTCTATCCAAATTGTCTTGAAAGTACTGGTGAGCTATCTTCAAACTTCCGCATTCTTTGGGATGTAGGTGCACTCAAGTGCTGTTAGGGAGGGAGTTTCACAATTTTGACCCAGAAACCAAGAAGAAACTGCAATATAGTCTCAAGGAAAGAAGGTGCAGAGCTTGGAGAGGACAAGATACGCTGATGTTCTTCTATTTGAAAGCATACGGAATTTTAGCATGATGGTTGATGACCTTTCATCGGAACTAGATGCAATTTCTTTGGATTTGCAAAACATGTTCCATACGATGCTGCACAATAAGCTAATGAAGATCACAGAACAAAAAAAAAGTGTTAGAGGACAAGTAGCAGAATGAATTGCTAACTGGCTTCAAGCCAGAAAGCACAGTGGAGGCAATAGGCAGTTACAAGTGACAGAGGTGGGAAAACACATCCTGCAAGGAACTGTGCTGGAATCACTGCCATTTGTAATGTACATTAAAATGTGGACTTCTGTAAATTGAGAAATTGATTTTTTTGAGAAGGCATAGAGAAAGAAGAATGTTCAATAGTTATTAACACTAATGGGGACCAGAAAAATTAAACGTAGACATAAGCATACAGAATGAGCATATAATTTGCAAATAACTAAAACACACCTAAATATAAGAAAGTACATTTTGGTAGGAGGGCACTTATGTCATAGATGGTGCAAGTCAGGGTGTATAAGAAGAACAAAGGAATATTGAATTATATATACACATTAAATCCGTGAAAGTTACCAGAAGTTAGCAAGGCGATTTAAAAGATCAGGCACTATCTTTTACTTCGAGGAACAGAAATATAAAATAGGAAATTTATGTTGAACATCAAACCCTGTAGTTCTGGTTGCCATATTGGAAGAGAATACATAGAGACACTGGAGAGGTTATAGGGAAAAATTTACAAACATGATATGTACACCTCCATATTTTTAGTATCAACTGAGGTTTGGCAGACTGAGTCTCCCTTTTCCGAAAAGGAAGGATGCAAAAGAATACCCTAATAGAGATCTTTAAAATAATGTAGAGAGAAAATATTTCCACTTGTGGGGAAGAGGAAGAGATCATCAATAAAAGAGAGGAAAGAAATTTATAAAAATCTGGAATTAAGAGTCTAATGATGACCATGAAACAATGTCGACTGATGGGAAAATCCCGCCTGGTGCACTAACATCCATTAGGGAAGGAAACTACTGTCGTTACGTGGTCTTGCCAACACATGCGTCCAGACCAAGAGCGATGTGGTTCACTCTTAATTGCCCAGAGGGTAGTTAGGGCTGGCCAATAAATGCTGGCCTAGCCAACGTCACCCACATGCCATGAACAAATGTTTAAAAAAAAAAACATGAAATCAAATAGGGAATTGGAAGTAATGGCTTTACCCAAACGGTAACGACCCTGTGAATGTACAGAGTGGTTGAAGTGAATAATACAGACAAATTTAAAGAAAAAGGGAGCACGTTTTACAATGATAGGTCTAGATAAGGAAATGCAGAGGTTAGAATGAAGTGTAAACATCTGCATAAATTATTTGATCCAAAAATGGACAATTTCTGTGCTCTATATCCAATGTAATGACTCAGGATACTGTGAACTTACTTATCAATCATTTAACTTTAACACAATCAATCATCAACTTCAGGCTTCACTTCAGAAGGAAACAGCATTCGTCACCTCATGCCTGCACAGTGATCCACTTCATTAACAGCAACAAAGAAGCGAAGGTTCCTTCAAAAGCACTTTGCAAACTACCATTACCTTTCCAGGTCAAGAGCAGCAGATATATGGTATCATCACTACCTGATCCATCTCTAAGCCACACACCATCCTAATTTTGAACGTACTTCACTGTTGCTGGGTCAAAATCCTGGAACTCCTTACCCAAGAGCATTGTGGATGTGCCTACATTACATGGATACTGTGTTCATGGTGGCCTTCAAGGGCAACTAGGGATGGGCGACAAATGCTGGCTACGCTGGCGATGTCCACATCTTGTAACTAATATTGTTATAAATTAAAATATTGTGTTGCAAAATCACAAATTTTCTTGAACACTCATTTAATTTTTCCATAGACATAATAAAAACAGCAGTAGACCATACAGCCCCTTGATACTGTTCCTCCAGTTCAGAAGATTGTGGCAATTTCGTCTCCATTTATCAGCATTGATTCCATGCCTTTTAACAACTTTGCCCAGCAAAACCTTTACCCTCCACTGCTTTAATGGAAGAGTGCTCCAGACTGTCACTGTTCTTTGCACATATAAATTCTTAAACTACTTTCCCAAATAATGTTGTAGCTTTCAAGTTATATCAGTATCGCCAGCTCCCCAAAAACAGAGAAAGTTTTTCCTCTATCTACTCCATCAATTTCTTTCTAAAATCCAAAATGTTCAAACAAATCACCTGCAGAGAATAATTTTAAAAAGGCTACTTGTTTTGAGAAAACTATAATAAAAATAGTATTCCTGGTAGAATTCAATCCTGCAGAGTAAACAGCACAAAATAAAGTCATAAAGATCATAAGAAAAGCCTATATTCGGGTTTTGGATACTTACTATATTGTTTTCAGTAGCTTCCCCCAGTAACCCTCCAAATGTGATGACAGGAGACATACAGGCACAGTAAAGGAAAAGAATAGATGCCAAGCACTGCAGGCTAAACGCGTCTTTGAAGTCACTCAAGTAGAATGGTGATTTTCTTTTGATGTCACGGATTAAGCCACCAAAGAGCCTGTAGGAATAATGTAGCACTTTTCACACAACTTCCAAATCCAGAATTTTATCTTAAAATCTAAATAGAAGGCAGTGGCTCAGCATATTTAACTCAACCAGATGGGTCAAAGATTACATAAGATAACAATCATAGATTCCTTATGGAAAGTTAATGAAGAATCCAAATTTAAGATTAGACCATTAGATACAGGAGCAGAAGTAGGCCATTCAGGCCATCAAGTCTACTCCCCCATGCAATGAGATCATAGATGGTCTGATAATCCTCAGCTCCAATTTCATGCCTTTCCTCTGAAATCCTTCATTCCCTTATTGATTAGGCATCCTTCTCTCTCAGCCTTGAATATACTTAACATCGCAGCCTCTGCGGTAAAGAATTCCACAGATTCACTACCCTCAAGAAATTCCTCATCTTAATCTTAACTGTGTGACCTCTAATTCCAAGATTAGACCTTCTGGTCCCATACTTTCACACAAGGGAAATCTTTTTGCTACTACTCTGTCAAATCCCCTAAGAATCCTGCATGCTTCAATAAGGTCACCTCTCAAACTTGTAAATTTCAATGAGTATACACTCAACCTACTGTACCTCACTTCACAAGACAGTCCCACCACATCTAGCATTCGCCTAGTGAATTTTCTCTGGACTGACTCCAAGGCCAGTATATCATTCCTTAATCAAGGGACCAAAAATGCTTACAGTATTCCAGCTATGGTCTGAATAATGCCTTGTAAAGTTTTAGCAAAACCTCACTACTTTTATGGAGAAAACAGAGTTAACGTTTTTGGGTCTGGTGACCCTTCCTCAGAACTGTTCTGAGTTTTCTCCTTCACAGATGCTGCCAGACCAGCTGAGCTTTTCCAGCAACTTTGTTTTTGTTCCCGATTTACGGCATCCGCAGTTCTTTTGGTTTTTACTCACTGCTTTTATACTTCTTTAAAATAAAGACCAACATTCCATTTGCATCATGTTGATGCTCTTTAATCTTATATTATTTATAAATTCTCAGCTATTACATGCTTTGTAATAACCTCTAACATTTGACCAATAAATGTTAGCATAACTGGCTTACAGCTCATGTTTTTTTAAAATCTCCTTCTCTTTTTAAATAATAGTTACTTGGAAAAGCTACCAATCCTCTTGGAGTTTTCCAAAATTTAAAGATTCCTGGGGGACTACCACTAGTGTGTCCACCATCTCTGTAGCTACTTCTTTTAACATCCTAGCACACATCCCATCAGATCCAGGAGCCTATCAAACTTCAGTTCCATTAGTTTCTTTAGCACTTTTTCTCTAGTGATCATTGTATTCATTTCCCCTCCTCCTTTTACCCTTTGATTATTCAGAAATTTTGGAATGCTATTGATATCTTCTACTATGAAGACTGACGCAAAGTATTTATCCAATTCTTTTGCCAGGTCTTGGCTTCCCATTATCTCCCCAGCCTCGTTCCCTAAGGGACCCATATTTGCTTTTGCTTCTCTCTCTCTTTATATATTTTAAATCAGATTATACCCAACAATCACTTCTGAATAACAGGTTCCAAAAGCAGAGCTAAAGATAAGAAAACTCAAATGTCAATGCTGACATACTACAATAGTGTAACACATACAGCCAGTTTCTCGTATGGTATGAGAAACATTTAATTGTTACCATTATCAACAAGAAGGATGTTGAATATACTCTTAGTCATCTGTGTAGTGTGCAAACTGAGGAATAATCACTGCACTTCTTAGGTGCAAGCTCAAACAGCACACAGCTACTTGTGGACATAAAGTCTTCCTAGCAATAAACATTAAAATATTTTCAACTTCACTTTGTTTCTACAAGATTTTGTGCAGTAACTCTGAAGTATTTCAATTACCAATAGTTACATATTTTTAATTTAGAAAGCATGAAGGCACAATAAAATCTGAACTGAAGTTGAATTTACCCAACTGTTTTGTTTAAATATAGAAAAGCCAAAAAAATCCAGAGGTTTTGAAGTTTTATTTTCCTCACTCGAGTATGATAAAAGACAGAAGGCTATGAATGGAAAAATGTATAACTATAAAATTTCTCTCTACTGCTCTTCACTCAGCACAAAAACACAAGAAAAGGCATGTCAGCTAGCAGCTTTTACAGGTGCATAATTCTGGCAAAAAAACGCAAAATGACTTAAGAGGCACATAAAAACCTGACTTTTTGGCATCAATAAATCTCTAACAAAAAGCTATACGTTCTTGCATAAATTCTGCAATAGCATTACTGACACCAATGTTCCTGGGAAATCTACAGGTACCAAATTGTCTGTTTTGATGCATGACAGTCAGCATTAACTTGTTAAAAATTAGAGAAACTAAGGTAACAGCATCCCTAGAATACAAATTAACTGCAAATAAAAAAGATAAAAAAAGGAGAGCACAGCTTGTGTACAGTACATTTAAAACTTAGATACCCTCTGTAAACCAAGTTCAAAACATTTAAAGACTCACTGCTTTACTTAGGTGAGGGGTGGTGGCAGTGCAGTATTGTCACTAGATTGGGAATCCAGAGACCCTGGCCAACATGGGCTTGAATTCCACCATGGCATAATGGTGAGGTTTGAATTCAATTAATAAAAGCAGTGTTATATTCCAGTTTTATGCTGACCATTAGATTGTTGTCAGTTATCACAACAAAATTTGTTTCGTTAATCTCCCTTACAGAAGATAAATCTGTCATCCTCACCTTGTTTGGGCTACGTGTGATTTCATTTGTACAGTGATGTGGTTGACTGTTAACTGCCCTCTGAAATAGCTTAGCTAGCTCAGTTGTATCTAACTGCTACGAAGTCTGATAAAAAGAATAAAGACAGATAGAACACCCAGCAATCAAGAACGCACCAGAAATAACAATGGCAGGCAGCCCTGCCCACTCTGCAAAGTGTTCCATACTAACAAACATCAGAAGTGCTTGTGCCCAAACTGGGAGAGCAATCTCAAAAATTAGTCAACAACCTGACATCATACTCAAGGAATCATATTTCTCAGACAACATCCCAGGCACGGTCACCACTGCTTGGTCTGCACTGTCCATGAGATAATACGAGGTGAAGCACAGTAGCAAACAAGTACAAGTTGTCTTGGAAGTACTCAAGATTTACTTTGGACCACACATCAAACATGGGAAAGGAAATATCCTGATTAGCACCTACTGGCCCATCTTGGCAGATGATTCAGTTCTCCTCCATTTGCAATACCACCTGCAGGACACGCAGAGGGTGGCAAGACACAGAAGATATTCTGTGTTGTGGGACATCAATGTTGATCATCAACTGTGGCCGAGCAGCACCATTACACACCCTCTAAGCTGTACGCACACAGCCACGCTGATATTCCACACATGGCGATGCACATTGGTACACGGATTGCAGCATTGGTTTCTGGTTCCACAAAATCGCTGCAGTGTGCAGGCCTTGGAGACTGGCGAAAATTAGAGGGAATGCTGCTCAAGACTGTGCACCCATAAGGCCCATCAGCAGAACTATATTCAAACGCAATCTTTAATCTCATTGCCTGACATATTCCCCACTTTATCATTACAATCAAGCCAGGGGATCAGCAAGGGGGTTATGCTGAACCCATATCCAATTTTAGGTAAGGCTCAGCAGGAATACTGTTTGCAGTTCTGGTCACCACACTATCGGAAGGTCATGATTACTCTAGTGAAAGTGCAGAAGAGATTAACTGTATGTTGCCTGAACTGCAGTGATTCAGCCTGAAGAGAAACTAGATAGGATGGGTTTGTTAACCTTAGAGCAGAGAAGGTTGATATAGGATCTTATTGAGGCATATAAAGTTGAGGGACACTGTCAGGGTAGATAGAGAGAAACATCTCCCCTTAATACAGGGGTCAATAACTACAGGACACAATTTTAAGATAAGGAGAAGGTAATTTAAGAAAAGATTTAAAGAAATTTCCTTTCTCCCAGAAAGCTTTGGGTATCTGGAACTCACTACCTAAAAAAGGTGATAGAGCTAGGAATCCTCAAGACATTTAAGAATTATTTAGATAAGCACATGAAATACCACAGAACACAAGGCTATGGGCCAAGTGCTGTAAAATGGGATTCAAATAAATGGATGTTTGATAACCAAAAGACACAATGGGCCGAATGGCCTCTTTCCGAGCTGCAAAATCTCTAACTGGTTCAATAAAGGAGTGTAAGTGATGCCAGAGGAGCAGGAGACATACCTATAAATGAAGTGTCTGCCTTGTAAAGCTATTACACAGGACTACTTGCATGGCATTCAGTGTAAGGACCATGCAATAGGCAGAGTTAAATGATGCCACATCCAACAGATCTAAGTTTTACAGTCCAGTCTCCCAGGAATGATTGGTCATACAAGAACAAATATCCCCATTCAAAACAAAAGGAGAGCCCATTGCATCAGTGTAAAAAAGGTCAAAACATTTAAATGCATCTTCAGCCAGAACAATCAAATAATAAACTAACTTTGCCTTCTCCTTCAGACCTCAGCACCACAGATGCCAGTCTTCAGTCAATTTGATTCATTCCATTTAATATCAAGAAATGGTAGAAGTTATTGGATACTGCAAAGGTTACAGGCCCTGACAATATCCTGGCAAGAACGCAAAAGACTTGTAGTCCAGAAAATAGTCATCTCCCTACCAGTACAGCTACAACACTGGTATCTGGCAATGGGGAAAAAAAAACTGGCCAAGTATGCCCTGTATACACAAAGAACAACTCCAATTTAACCAACTACTGGCCCAGTCTAATGTCAATCATTCGCAATGTAAAGAAGTTGCCATCAACAGTGCTGTCAGGCAGCACTTGCTCAGCAATAACCTGCTCCTTGATGTTCAGTTTAGGTTCCAACAGGCCCATTCAGTTCCTGACCTCATTACAGCCTTCATCCAAATATGGCTCGAATGACTGAACTTCAAAAGGGAAAGTGAAGGTAACTGTCCTTGACAATAGGCCACATTTGATGGAGTGTTGAATCAAGGAATCCTAAAGAAACTGGAGTCAATGGGTATTACGGCTAAACTCTTCAATGGTTGCAGTCATACCTATCACAGAAAGACGGTTGGGATTGTTGGTCAATCGATTCAGCTACAGGACATCACTGCAGGAAGTTTGCAGGGTAAAGTTTCAGGCCCAAACAACTTCAGCTGCATCAACAATGGCCTTCGCTCTGTCATAACGTCAGAACTGGGAATATTCGCTGATTGCACTATGTTCAGTATTATTTGCAACTCCTCAGATACAGAGGCAGTCCATTTCCAAATGCTGAAAAACCTTGACAATACCTAGGTTTGGTCTGACATGGCAAGAAACATTCATGCCACAAATGCCCCAGATAATGACCATTTCCAATAAAAGACAACCTAATGCCAGGCAATCACTGTCATCACTGAATGCGCGACCGTTAACCTCCTGGGAGGTTACAACTAACCATTAATTAAACCAGACCAGCCATATAAATTCTGTGGTTGCAAAGGCTGGGCATAAATTAGGAGTTATGCGACAGGTAACTCACCTCCAGACTCGCCAGTGGCTGTCCACTATCTGCAAGGCACAAATTGAGAATGTGATGGAATATCCTCCATTTACCTGGATGAGTGGCGTTTCAAAAATATACATGCAGCTTGACAATATCCAGCACAAAGCAGCTGGCTTGAGCAACACTAACATTTCAACATTAACTCCATCCACCCCTGATGCACAGTGTTAACCGTATACAAGACACATTGCAATCTTTAAAGTGAGTTTCTTCAACACCACTCAAACCGTCATCTCTACCATTCAGAAGGACAAGGGCAGTGGATGCATGGGAACACCACGACATGCTAGTTTTCCTCCAAAGACCGCACTATCCCAATTTGGAATTATTGCTGGGTCAAAATCCTGGAACTTCCCCTCTGTGTGCGCAAAGATAATACACATTGTTTACAATGGCTGTAGGCAAATTAGGGATGGGCAATATATGCTGGCCTAGACAGTAGTGTCTTCACTTTATCAATGAAAGGACACTAAACAGGTCCCGCAGGCCCGACCAGTCCCCCTCCACCGACACCCTCATCCGCTTAGCCAAACTCATCCTCACCCTCAACAACTTCTCTTACAATTCCTACAGACAAAGGGGGTGGCCATGGGTACCCGCATGGGCCCAAGCTATGCCTGCCTCTTTGAAGGTTACGTGGAACAATCTCTCTTCCGTACCTACACTGGCCCTAAACCCCACCTCTTCCTCTGTTACATTGATGACTGTATCAGCGCTGCCTCGTGCTCCCACTTCAACACATTGCACCCTAACCTTAAGTTCACCTGGACCATCTCCAATGCCTCTCTCTCCTTCCTGGACCGCTCTCTGTCTCCATCTCTGGCAACCACCTAGAAACCGATATCCATTTCAAGCCCACCAACTCCCACAGCTACCTAGAATACACCTCCTCCCACCCACCATCCTGCAAAAATGCTATCCCCTATTCCCAATTCCTTCGCCTCCGCCGCATCTGCTCCCAGGATAAGGCATCCACTCCCGTACATCTCAGATGTCCTCATTTTTCAAGGACTGCAACTTCCTCCCCCCTCAGTGGTCAAGAACGCCCTCGACCGTGTCTCCCGCATTTCCCGCAACTCATCCCTCACACCCCCTCCCCGCAATAACACCCAAAACAGAATCCCCCTCATCCTCACGTACCACCCCACCAACCTCTGGATCCAACGCATCATCCTCCGACACTTCCGCCATCTGCAATCCGACCCCACCACCAAGACATTTTTCCCTCCCCACCCTTATCTGCTTTCCAGAGGGACGACTCTCTCCGGGACTCCTTGTCCGCTCCACACTCCCCTCCAGCCCCACCACACCCGGCACTTTTCCCTACAACTGCAGGAAGTGCTACACCTGCCTCTATACCTCCCCCCCTCACCCCCATCCCAGGCCCCAAGACGACTTTCCACATCAAGCAGATGTTCACCTGCACATCTGCTAATGTGGTGTACTGCATCCGCTGTTCCCGTTGTGGCCTCCTCTACATCGGGGAAACCAAGCGGAGGCTTAGGGACCACTTTGCAGAACACCTACGCTCGGTTCGCACTAAACTGCGCCTCCCAGTCGCGAACCATTTCAACTCCCCCTCCCATTCCTCAGACGACATGCCCATCCTGGGCCTCCTGCAGTGCCACAACGATGCTATCCGAAGGTTGCAGGAACAGCAACTCCTATTCCGCTTGGGAACCCTGCAGCCCAATGGTATCAATGTGGACTTCACAAGCTTCAAAATCTCCCCTCCCCCTACCGCATCCCAAAACCAGCCCAGCTTGTCCCCACCTCCCTAACCTGTCCTTCCTCCCACCTATCCCCTTCTCCCACCTCAAGCCCCACCCCCATCTCCTACCTACTAACCTCATCCCGCCCCCTTGACCTGTCCGTCCTCCCTGGACTGACCTATTACCTCCCCACCTACACTCACCTCTACTGGCTCCATCCCCGCCTCTTTGACCTGTCTGTCTCCTCTCCACCTATCTTCTCCTCTATCTATCTTCTATCCACCTCCCCATCTCTCCCTATTTATTTCAGAACCCCCTTCCCCTCCCCCATTTCTGAAGAAGGGTCTAGGCCCGAAACGTCAGCCTTCTTGCTCCTCTGATGCTGCTTGGCCTATTGTGTTCATCCAGCTCTACACCTTGTTATCTCAGATTCTCCAGCATCTGCAGTTCCTGCTCTCTCCTAAACAGGTTAGACAGCATCTGTGTGGAGAGATTAGTATAGTTAACATTTCTAGTCTGTGACTGCTCATTTCATCCAAGCGCAGCTTTTTGAGCACTTTGCGTTTTCACTTTTTGGAAACAACCTGGATTTTAATCAGAAATCAGGGGATGTCAAGAACGTTGATCGAGGAGAACTGTATTGTTCATTGATTTAGCTTTTCAAGAAAAATTATGGAATTGTGTCACTACAGGCACTGCCGAAAGCATATCTGGAACTGGACTTAAGTTTGATGCATTTGGAAAAACATTTGCCTTAATGTTGTAATTGTTGAAAAAGTTGATCTGGAATGAAGTTAAGACAAGCATCCAGTTTTCTTGCATTATAAAATAACGATTTGGCCTCAATGGGAGTATTCTGTCTAATCCCGAATGTCATACACCTGAGAGGGTATGAAGATACTGGAGGCAGAGTGGGGGAGATCCAAGGAAAGGATTCCACGGCTTGAGAAACTTTGGTCATACTGATAGGCTGGAGAAGCTGATGCTGTTCTCATTAGAGAAAGTCGGAGTCACCACGTTGAGAGGAGTTGGTCAAAACTCAGGCAGCTGGTTTAGGTGGGAAGGAACGGTTTCTATTCACAGAAAAGTCAAGGACTAGACAATAGCAATTGCTATCATAAAGGAAGCAATTACAACACAGAAATGAGAACTTTTTTTTTTGCAATGCAACACGTGAGTAGGATCTGGAATGCCAGAGTGTATCTGGTACAGGTAGATTCGAAATTGGTTCTCAAAAAGAATTGGAAGATAGAACTGAAAATCTTTTTTCAGACTATGGGGAAAAAGACAAGGTATTAAGACTTGTCGAATGGCTCTGGCAGAGAACTGGCACAGTCAAGGGGCTGAATGATTTCCTTCTACACTAAGATTGACAACGTTCCACCGAAAGGATTGGAGTAAATACAGATCAATAATTCAGTTTTTGATGGCCCTGGAACTTGTCAGAGCTAATGGAATTTTATTTGAAGATAGTTGATTACTGTAGAGTGGAAATAGATGTTAAAGTCTACTAATAAATATGGTGTGAAAATTAACTCAAACTTTAGAGACCACCTCTGGGAATTGTGTCTTAAACATTTTAACAGAACATATCTTAAGCAGAAAATTGCCTCCCATGTTAAAAGAAACCTTCCTCCATGTCCCCAGAAAAATCTGCAATGCTTTTTTCAATCTCCTTGTGCTACCATATTTTTATCCTCCTGGAAGTTAAATATAATTTGGGTAACACTGATCTAATACAATACCACAGGTTACAAAGTACTAACTACTTAGGCTCATTTGTATTTATCCATGAGGTTACAAGCTGAAAAGATTGGAAAAAAAAAAAAAAAAAGAGATCATGCAAATACTTATGTACTTACCATAATCCCAGAAGACCACTGGGCTGCTCTCTCATTAAAGAGAGACGATTGGTGATGGTTTCTCCTGAGGGTCACCAGTTGGCCGAGTATCATTCATAACGTGGGTTCAATTTCCACACTGGCTGACGTGACCATGAAGGACTCTCCTTCTCAACCTTTCCCTTCGCTTAAGGCACATGACCCTCCGGTTAAACCGCCACCAGAAATCTCTTTCTAATGACAGCGCAACCATATAACGGTCCTCTGAGACCGTGGCAACTTTATCTTTACTTTCAAGTGTACAGATGAAATAAATGAACAAATCAAAGAAAGTGAGCTCTACAAACATCATAATCAATGGCATTTAAAATCAAAAACCACACAAGATTATGCAGTGAATCATGAATGTGGCCATGCTGTAAGGTTATAAAACCCATCCAAGTTTTTTCTTCATTCACTTTCACAATCAGGCTGTGTAAATGCAGCTGATTGGATATCACTCACCCATGCCCCAGAAGTCAGAAGCTAGCACCACGTAAAACTAATTTATATGGCAATAAATATCAAACATTATTTACAAACATTTTGAACTTTATACTTTTGAAAGAACAGATGGAAAGCAGTAACTGTACAAGGAAGCATTAGGGACAGGAAACAAATGACTGCTCTCCCTTTCCAAGATCTCATCAAAATCTCCCCTTCCCAAAGCTCTCAAAGCCATTTTACCTGTAATACTGGTATTCAAGATTGCACATAAAACAAAACCTAGAACCTGAAAAAGGCTTCAGAACTCTGCAGAACTGGCTTTCAATTCTATACTCCAGCAGATGTTGTGTCATGCTGACTAACTTTGAAAGGAAAGAAAACCTTTGAGGCAATATGCAAAACAAACCTTCCAGTGCGCTCAAGTTCTGGTCCAGTGTGATGTTCTTCATGATTTGTAGTTCCATTGGTGATTGGTGGACCATTTGGAAGAGGAGGAGGGCACTTCCGTTTTTCCTTTACATAGCAGATAAAGGGGAGAAACGATTATTTTACAAATAAGCTTTACACAAAGATTCACAGAATATATTCTGGTCTGACAATTCAAAGTCCAAGTTCAGCTATCACGATAAATTTGAGAAGTTTTCTGGGATAAGTACAATCCACCAGCATTCAGGTCAGCATTCAGTCACAAGTTCAACTTTTAAATGCACCTGATAAAAGGGAATGATGGTGTGGAGGTGGGGAGAAATCAGTGTCACAAACGGCTAGATCATAATTCACATGATTTAGAGCATAACTGTTGATAAATGGTAGGATGGGAGGGGCATGGATTGAGAAAGTGATAAGCAACTCTAGAGTAAATGCAATTTGAACAAGCTTGTAGATAAACATTGTTTAGCTTCTAACTTTAATTTATCTTCAATGTCACAGTTAGAAATGTTAATGTTAAACAAAGGATCACCCAATTATAAGGCCAAGATGTAAAAGTTAGCAATTTTGCAAATAAAGGTTACTAGCAGTATGAACTATTCATATAAGTTGCAGAAACAGGATTGTCTTGAAGGAAGAAAGTTTGATGGCATTTCTGTTTGAATCATTCCAAAGCATGCTCATTTGTTTAGGGATAGTGATTAAGGGCAGAGTCTTATTTAGAAGGTTTTTCTGTTGAACTGCTTGTTTGACAGAAAAAAAAAGCGTTTCCCTCATGAAATCCAAGTTGAACTGCATCTAGAAGATCTGCTTTAGCTTGCAATTAGAAGAAATTTAAAGAGAGTTTTTAAAGAGCCTTTTGGCAGAAAACAATTAATTAGCTTGAATAGTCGGATTGCAAGGCATACAACAAGTTGTAGAAACACAGTCTGGGAAAAAGCAGTCTATGCAACACCAAAGCATGGATAAAGGAGCTAATATAGGGAAGTATTTATCATGGGGAAATTAGCTATTCAGATTAGTGTTTAAACTGCTGTCTGGTAAAGAGAGACAAATCTAAATGTAATTCATTTTCTTACAAGTTATTGACTGTAAACTAACTCGGATGTACCACTGTAGATGGAAGAAAGAGGGACAACACCATAAAACATCCAAAAACACATCCACTTTCATACAAGATAACAAGGTGTAGAGCTGGATGAACACAGCAGGCCAAGCAGCATCAGAGGAGCAGGAAAGCTGACGTTTCGGGCCTAGACCCTTCTTCAGAATGATTGATTTTATTGTCACATGTACTGAAAAGCTTTGTTTGCTTGTTATGATCTTCCTGTACTGCTTGTAAAGGATGTACAGATCAAAAAGACTTAGAGGCATACAGGTTACATTATTTGAGGCTAGAGTCCATTCAACATTCTTATAATGGCCAGAAAGAAGCAGTTCCTGAACCTGCTTGTGGACCTGTTCAAGCTTCTGTATCTTCTGCCCAACGGCAGATGTTGTAGGTGGTCATTACCAGGGTGAGATGGGTCTTTGATGTTGGTTGCCTTTCTGTGGTGAGCAGTGTAAATTGAGTCTATGGATGGAAGATTGGCTTCCGTGATGGTCTGGATTGTGCACATCACCTTCTGTAGTTTCTTACGGTCCTGGGCAGAGCAGACAGTTACGCGCCCAGTCAGTATGCCTTCAATTTTGCATCTGTCGAAATTCATGAGGGACCTTATGGCCACGCTGATTTTCTTGAGCCGCCAGAGGAAGAAGAGGCGTTGTTGTGCCTTCATCTACGTGGGAAGTCCAGGACAGTTCGTCAGTTTTCGTCACTCCGAGGAACTTGATGCTCTCCATCCTCTCAACCTTAGTTCCATTGATGTAGATGGCTCCCTACACATTAGGGAAGATGATGACCTGGTGGTATTGTCACTAGACTATTAATGCAATGACTTGAGCAACACTCAGTGGGATTTGAACCTAGATGCCCAATGGTAGATGATGAAATTTCAAATCAATAAAAGTCTAGAAGCATGTAATGATAATGGACCACAAAACCATGGTTAATTGTCATAAAAACCCATCTGGGTTAACTCTTAACTGCCCTCCAAGTAACTGGAGATGGTCAATAAATGATATCCGCAATCCTGTGTATAAGTATAAACAAAATACAGTCAGCTATTATTGACGTACAAGGTGAAGAACTGGGTATTCAGTTCAGTTAACCCAATCCCATACTCACGAGATTTCTTTCCATGCAGGAGTCAGTGAATTGGTATCAGAAACAAAAAAGGTGCTGGTTAAACATTTACACTGAAGCACAGGTACTCTGCAGCAAATTGTAGTGCCAGCAACACCATTTTAACCAAATTGAACCCATTCAGTACTCAGATTTCAACACCATATATGTTGTTGGAATAGCAAACTTTACTGGAAATAGCATTTTGGTCAGCAATCTGAAGGAGGATACACATCTAAAATAGAATAACAAGCCTTTCTTTAAAGACATGTTGACTGGCCTGTTGAGTTCTTACAACATTGTCTGCTCATAACTTGAATCAAATATTTGCAATTTGTTTTTTTTTGCATTTTACTAGGGTGCATTCAAACTTTTGAGTGCAGGAAGTGAGTGCCCAAGATTTTGCACATTAACTTGCAAGCAAATTATAGGACAAAGGAAAGCACAACTCAAGTTTTAATATCTGAATGTTGCGGTTATGTACTTGCTAAAAAGCAACTTAAAAATCAATTTTGAGGTGAAAGTTTTCAAAAGCATTATATTATAAAAGAAGAAATTTGAATTTTATTAGGCTTCAAAGATGATTCTCACCTGTGAAGGAACATTTTTTGGTGGTTCAATTCGGATTGAAGGATCCCACTCTCCGGGTGGAAGAACAGTAACTTGATCTAAAAATTCATCTATTCCTGCCAGCAAGTCTGTTCGATCTTTTGCTTTATAAGCAACATCATGGAAAATCTTAATAGAAACATGCATGCACACATTTATGAGGAATGTGGTTACATTCTTACATTAACAGTAGTTTTTAAAAGTCTCTGTGATTATTAACTTTAAATTTTAAAGACTACAATGTGGTTCAGCAGACTTCACCTGACTGCTGAACCAGTGACATCCAGTATTTCTAAAGTAGTTTATTTTCCATTATAATTGCCTAAATTTTTTAAAATAACAAGCAGTCATCTAAAAAGATCTGATCTTCCCAATATTTGAATTAGGATCAATTATAGCTCCGAGCAAGGCTCCAGTATAGTTTTAAATAAAAACTGAAAGAACTGCGGATGCTGCAAATCAGGAACAAAAACAAAGTTGCTGGAAAAGCTTAGCAGGTCTGGCAGCATGTGAAGAAAAGAAATCAGAGTTAACGTTTCGGATCCAGTTCTAAGGAAGGGTCACTGGACCCGAAACATTAACTGATTTTTCCTTCACAGATGCTGCCAGATCTGCCGAGTTTTTCCAGCAACTTTGTTTTTGTTCCAGTATAATTCTAGTAGACACCACCTTCAAAATGCCAACTTGCCTCATCTGTCATTAAGGTAGCTATTGATCTACCAATTTCATGGTACTGCTGTGCTTTACCAGATGGTCCCAACATAAGAAACAAAAACCTAAGAGGGTAGAAAAATGAATGTTAGAAAATAAAACATTAGTTTTCCAGGTATCACTCAAAATGTGATCAAATTACTGGTTTCTCCTTGCAACTAAAAGCGATTTAGCATATTACACTCTTATTGCAGTTAAGAATTACTCCTTTCAACATCAAGTTCACAAATTATTCTCCACACATGCATGTCGGAAATTGTGGTATTAGTGTAAGATGCACTTTTTTGGATTGATAAGGCCAATACCGCATCTCCCTGACTGACTGCATCACTTGGGAGAACAAAATCTTCTTCAATATATATTTTGTGCACAGCACACTTTGTAAGAGTAATTGAAAAACTGTGTATTTCAATGCTTATATGATTAAGCATTTTCAAAGTATTGTTGATGGATCTGGAAAGGTGAAAATATTTTCTTATTGCAAAGAATGAACAATTTAACCATGAGTGAATCAAAGTTAAGTATATATCTGATAAAATAATGATAAATCTTTCATTTCAGTTTCACCTGGTTGGAATTGGAACTTCTGTAAGTCCTGTAAGAAGAATAGCAGGAGACAGACGAACAAAGGCAATGATGGGTCTCTCAAGGAAGTTCACTTCTCCCACCAAGACATTGGAAGCCTCAGCACCAGGTGGAATCTTTTTCATGAAATTCATGTCCACCTACAAATAACATTGATGGGATGCGACAACATTTTAAGCAGTTCGAAATTATCTAAACATATTTAGCTAATACTTGAACATGAAATGATGCACAAGTCTAACCTAAATTAATTTCAACTTGAATGCTTTTGTTGTGCATAAAGCAATTCAGATGTACTAAGCTCGGACCTTCTGGAAATGATTTTTTCTTACTTCTATAGGCAGCATAGATTGCAAAGCACTGATTATAGTTTCAATCAGGTATAAAAATCAGGAAACATGAAAATTTGGAGTCAGATCCAAACACTGGGCATCTTTGGAACTCAAGTCTTAATATGTTATCTAAAAATGTTAATTTTTTTAGAAAATATAAACTGAAAATTTTTTAAAGTAGCATTTGTCTTAATCCAATTTAAAGGCACAATTTTATATGGTGAGGAAATAGGTTAAGATCTTCACATTATGTTTAATTTCCAATATTTGAGTCGACAAATCTCTAGTGTTAACTGCTAGAAGTCCAATTTTTAACTAAAACTCACATTAGTTTAGCTGTGCTGAATTAATAATTGCTGCATATATTCTCATGCTGATAGATAACCAACACCACGCGAAACTGAAGATTCAACACTGGCCAATATCATGAAAAGCGCGCACACACAAACACACACAATGTACACAACAGTAGTACATCAGAAGCCAAAAGAACTAAAAAAAAAAAACTTACTGTTGACCTCCTGAGTCTCATACCAAGCGTGACACAATTACAGTGCCAGGACTCAGACTCCAGTCCAATCAGGAGTCAAGGAAGGCACATTTTAAACAGAAAAAAGGTCAACAAAAGAAAAGCAAAGCAAAAAAAAAGGGAAAAAACAAGAAAAAGTCATGATAGAGATGCAGGCACAAATACCTGCTTCAAACTGCAACCCAAATAGTTTACAAAAAGTAAGCAAATTTCCATGATGCAAGTACAGGTAAGAAAACGTTTCAGAAGTCAAAACATGAAATTTTAAGCCAATTCTGGGAATAGCTGTAAAACATACTAACAAAGACGTTATTTCAATAATCAACAAAATAGTTTTAGCACAATGAACAACATATTTTTGTTTGTAAGCACAAATCATTAATTTTTATTCTTGGTATGATCCAAAGTAACAAATATCATCTAACTCCTACAATGAGTCACAGCAGCAAAAAAAGTGTAATAAAAGTATCGCTACGCTTGCATTTTGTGAATGCATTTAAACTTTATTTACATGAATTCTATTCAAATAATGAAATAAGTTTCTGTCTTTATCCTAGTGTATTTTTGAAAACGAATTACAAAAAAGTACTTTGTTAGATACAAAAAAGTTAAAATTTGAAGAAAGATAAAAATTAATTTGTTCCTCCCATTGTCAAATCTCTAAAGATGATCAAATGAAAACACTTCAAAATCTCAAAGTTATCCAAACCTAAATGACTACAATAGTTCCAAGTCACATGATCCAAAAATCAATAATTGCAAAATACCATAATGATTTTTAACCTAACCTACCATTAAAACAAAACTATCCAAATTTTCTTTAATTTAACATGTGGGGAAATTCCTTCCAACTATTGTGTGCTCTGTCCCACTTAATTTCTGATATCCATTACTTGATCATGACACAAAATGTATGCAAATGTCACAGCTAGAAAGGTAGTTACAAGCAATGTGTTCCATGATGCTACCAGCAGCAAATCAGAGGAAACTGAGCTTTAAAGTGCCACAGCATTATAAATTGCAACATACAATTTAGCATTGTGTTGCTGTATAGTAATTAGAGTCATTTGGGGTTCCGTCAGAAAAACAAGAGTCAATTAATGAGTGACTGAACTGAGAATCTGGGCAAGATCAATTAATAAATTGTATTTAGCAAGCAAAATTAAAACATTAAAGGAAATTTTTCGTTTATTCTGTAATGAAGCATGTTTTTTTTTGCAATGTATACCAGGATTTACATCAGAGGTTGCTTAGCAAATTAGACCACATTCCTTTCTCTTACAAAGAAAGAGGTTTAATTATCCAAACTGGGAGTCTTTCCAAATATGGACTGTTAACAAATGGACCGAGTAACAGGAAACAGTGGCCAATGGCTATTTTTCCAACTGGAGGAAGGATTTTAGTGGAGTTTTCCGAAGTTAATGTTGGAGTTCTTGCTCTTTCCAATATGCACTAATGACATGCAGAGGACAATTTTAACATTTGCAGATGATATCAAACCCAGAAGCACTGTGAACTGAGAGGATGACAGAATAAAAGGAAAAAGGACATAGGCCAGTTGTGAAATGAGCAGACAAGCAGAAGAAATTTAACATAAAGAGGTGACGGGGGTTCATTTTGGTAAGAGGAACGCAGCGACACAAAAGAAAATGAACAGTTCTCAAAAAGGTTCCCGAGGGATCTGGATGCATACCTGCATAAAAATTACCAAAGATAGCAGAATAGGTTGAAGTAGCACTTAAAGTATACAGCATGCAAGCGATTTTAATAAGTGCATGGTGTATGAAAATCAAGGATGTGACATCAGAACTTAAACAGAACACTGCGTTGACCTCAACCAGAGTTCTGACAATCGCACTTTAAGAGGGATTAGAGAGGTGCAGAAAAGATTCACGAGAATATTTCAAAGGACGATGAACTTCAGTTACATAATTAGATTGAAGAAATTAGGCTGTTCTTGGAAAGTTGAAAAGAGTTTGAAAGAGATATCCAAACTCACAAGAGGACATAGACAGTAGACAGGAAAAACTGGAAGGATCAAGAACCAGATGGCAAAGATTTAAAGATTGCTGGCCAAAGAAGCAATGGCAACACAAGGATTTTTTATAAATGAAATCACAGCTGATCTGGTTATGATCTCAACTCCACTTGTTTGTCTGCCCCTTCCCCCACCGCCCCATAACCCTAGACTCAAGAAGTTATCCAACTCTATCTTGAATAAATTCAATAACCGAGTCTCCATAGTTTTCTGTAGAAGACTTCAAAAACTTTTCAAACATACTGGAATCAAGAAGTGAATGGGAGGGAGGAACTTAAAAAAACAAAAACCACCAAGGAAAAAGGTGCTCAGAAAAGTATTAGACCAGAGACTTCACAACTCTGAAGGACCACGCAGCCTGCACCCGAGAGCTTCGAACACAATGGTTACAGAGATAGCGGTTGCATTGGTTAGAATCTTCAAAATTCCTTGGATTTTGGAGAAGTCCAGTGGAAAATAATTAATGTAAACTTTTACTCAAGACAGACACTAAACATAAAACTTGTCGTCCATGGCAGATCTGGTCATCTACATGAGTCAACTGACTCTCAAACTTCCTTATCAAAATCTAGAAAGTGCATGATCTCCCAAACTCTCCAGTCAAAGTGTCCAAGGACGTCATTCAGGCAGAATTAACAATGACACACAGGGATTTATTTTACTAACAACTCACCAATGTTTCATATTCATGCAATAGCCGATGAAATGAAATACAGCTCATAAGGAAATAGAGATAGTAGGAACTGCAGATGCTGGAGAATCTGAGACAACAAGGTGCAGGGCTGGATGAACACAGCAGGCCAAGCAGCATCAGAAGCACCAAGGAGCAGAAAGGCTGACGTTTCGGGCCTAGACCCTTCATCAGAAAAGGAGGAGGGGAAGGGGGTTCTGAAATAAATAGGGAGAGAGTGGGAGGCGGATAGAAGATGGATAGAGGAGAGGATAGGTGGAGAGGAAACAAACAGGTCAAAGAGGCGGGGATGGCGCCAGTAAAGGTGAGTGTAGGTGGGGAGTTAGGGAGGGGATAGGTCAGTCCAGGGAGGACGGACAGGTCAAGGGGGTGGGATGAGGTTATTCGGTAGGAGTTGGGGGTGTGGCTTGAGGTGGGAGGAGGGGATAGGTGGGAGGAAGAACAGGTTAGGGAGGCGGGGACGAGCTGGACTGGTTTTGGGATGCGGTAGGGGGAGGGGAGATTTTGAAGCTTGTGAAATCCACATTGATACCATTGGGCTGCAGGGTTCCCAAGCGGAATATGAGTTGCTGTTCCTGCAACCTTTGGGTGGCATCGTTGTGGCACTGCAGGAGGCCCAGGATGGACATGTCGTCTGCGGAAAGGGAGGGGGAGTTGAAATGGTTTGCGACTGGGAGGTGCAGTTGTTTATTGCGAACCGAGCGTAGGTGTTCTGCAAAGCGGTCCCTGAGCCTCCGCTTGGTTTCCCGGATGTAGAGGAAGCCACACCGGGTACAGTGGATGCAGTATACCACATTGGCAGATGTGCAGGTGAACATCTGCTTGATGTGTAAAGTCTTCTTGGGGCCTGGGATGGGGGTGAGGGAGGAGGTATGGGGGCAGGTGTAGCACTTCCTGCGGTTGCAGGCAAAAGTGCTGGGTGTGGTGGAGCTGGAGGGGAGTGTGGAGCGGACAAGGGAGTCATGGAGAGAATGGTCCCTCCGGAAAGCAGATAAGGGTGGGGAGGGAAAGATGTCTTTGGTGGTGGGGTCGGATTGCAGATGCCGGAAGTGTCGGAGGATGATGCGTTGGATCCGGAGGTTGGTGGGGTGGTACGTGAGGACGAGGGGGATTCTTTTTTGGTTCTTATTGCGTGGACGGGGTGTGAGGGATGAGTTGCGGGAGATATGGGAAACATGGTCGAGGACACCCTCAACCGCTTGGGGGGTGGGGGGGGGGGGGCGGAGTTACGGTCCTTGAAAAACGAGGACATCTGAGATGTACGGGAGTGGAATGCCTCATCTTGGGAGCAGATGAGGCGGAGGCGAAGGAATTGGGAATAGGGGATAGCATTTTTGCAGGAAGGTGAGTGGGAGGAGGAGTATTCTAGGTAGCTGTGGGAGTCGGTGGGCTTGAAATGAATATCGGTTTCTAGGGTGGTTGCCCGATATGGAGACAGAGAGGTCCAGGAAGGGGAGAGAGGTATTAGAGATGGTCCAGGTAAACTTAAGGTTGGGGTGGAAGGTGTTGGTGAAGTGGATGAACTGTTCGAGCTCCTCGTGGGAGCACGAGGCGGCGCCGATACAGTCATCAATGTAACGGAGGAAGAGCTGGTGTTTAGGGCCGGTGTAGGTACGGAAGAGGGATTGTTCCACGTAACCTACAAAGAGGCAGGCGTAGTTTGGGCCCATGCGGGTACCCATGGCCACCCACTTTGTCTGTAGGAAGTGGGAGGAATTGAAAGAGAAGTTGTTGAGGGTGAGGACAAGTTTGGCTAAGTGGATGAGGGTGTCAGTGGAGGGGGACTGGTCGGGCCTGCGGGACAGGAAGAAGTGGAGGGCCTTTCGGCCATCTGCATGGGGAATGCAGGTGTAGAGGGACTGGACGTCCATGGTAAAGATGAGGTGTTGGGGACCGGGGAATTGGAAGTTCTGGAGGAGGTGGAAAGCGTGGGTGGTGTCACGGACATAGGTAGGGAGTTCCTGGACCAAGGGGGAGAAAATGGAGTCCAGATAGTTGGAAATCAGTTCGGTGGAGCAGGAGCAGGCGGAGACAATGGGTCGACCAGGGCATTCAGGTTTGTGGATTTTGGGAAGGAGAAAGAAGTGAGCAGTGCGGGGTTGGGCAACGATGAGGTTGGAGGCAGTGGATGAGAGGTCACCTGAGGTGATGAGGTTGTGGATGGTTTGGGAGATGATGGTTTGGTGCTCAGGGGTGGGGTCATGATCAAGGGGGCGGTAGGAGGTGGTGTCGGAGAGTTGGCGTCTGGCCTCGGCAATGTAGAGGTCAGTGCGCCATACTACAACTGTGCCTCCCTTGTCCGCGGGTTTTATGGTGAGGTTGGGATTGGAGCGGAGGGAGCGAAGGGCTGCACGTTCTGCGGGGGAGAGGCTGGAGTGGGTGAGAGGGGTGGAGAGGTTGAGGCGATTGATGTCTCGACGGCAGTTGGAGATGAAGAGGTCAAGGGAGGGTCGGAGGCCTTGGGGTGGTGTCCAGGAGGAGGGGGTGTGTTGGAAGCGGGAGAAGGGGTCAGTAGAGGGAGGGTTAGGTTCACGGTTGAAGAAGTAAGCGTGGAGGCGGAGGCGACGGAAAAACTGCTCTATGTCCAAGCGTGAGCGGTATTCGTTGATCTGTGGGTGGAGGGGGACAAAGGTGAGCCCTTTACTGAGGACTTCGTTGATCTGTGGGTGGAGGGGGACAAAGGTGAGCCCTTTACTGAGGACTGACCGTTCGTCATCAGTAAGGGGGAGGTCTGGGGGGATGGTGAAGACTCGGCAGGGCTGGGTGCTATTGTCCCCTCTGGAGCTGCTGGCTGTGGGTGGAGCGACGTCGGCGGCGAGCGGAGTTGTACCCGCGTCGGTGATGGGTGGAGCGGCGTCGGCAGTGGGGGGAGTGGGGTAGGTGGCAGCAGTAGCAGTAATGGTAGTCGTGACTTCAGTGTCGGTGGTGTTGGTCTCAGAAATGGAGGCGGCGGCAACGGCAGCGATGGTGTTCGCTGTCCCGGAAGTGGGGAACCCGGCGGTGGCGGATGTGATGTCATCTGTGGGTTCTCCGACAGTGGCCTCATGGCCAATGGCGGCGGGCACATTGTGGGGAAGGTCCTGGTTATGGCTGGGGATTTGGGGGATGGAGAAAGCCCGTTTTGGGTGGTAGGCACCAGTAAGTTTACTGTACTTACGGTTTTTAGTGTCCAATAAAGCTGAGTAGAATTGTGAGTTAAGGTTGTGGATCCTACGAAGAATAAAAAACAGGAGAGGTCCTTTGCAGGTCTGGGAGAGGGAGGCTCTGAGCTGGGGTAGGCTTGATTGTAGTGCCTGGAAATGCCAGTGCATTGCTGCAAGTGTGTGTTTCAGGAGTCACAGAGAGAAACGCTTCTGAAGGATCTCAATGCCATGAGTGTAGATATTATCACGGTTGGGGCCAAATTGGGAAGGCTTGAATGTGGATTGTAGTCCATTGGGGATGATCTGGTCCCGTAGGCAGGAGCTAAGAAAGGTGATGCAGAACACCTCCGCTCGGTTCGCAATAAACAACTGCACCTCCCAGTCGCGAACCATTTCAACTCCCCCTCCCATTCCTCAGACGACATGTCCATCCTGGGTCTCCTGCAGTGCCACAACGATGCCACCCGAAGGTTGCAGGAACAGCAACTCATATTCCGCTTGGGAACCCTGCAGCCCAATGGTATCAATGTGGATTTCACAAGCTTCAAAATCTCCCCTCCCCCTACCGCATCCCAAAACCAGTCCAGCTCGTCCCAGCCTCCCTAACCTGTTCTTCCTCCCACCTATCCCCTCCTCCCCCGTCAAGCGCACCCCCATCTCCTACCGACTAACCTCATCCCACCCCCTTGACCTGTCCGTCCTCCCTGGACTGACCTATCCCCTCCCTAACTCCCCACCTACACTCACCTTTACTGGCTCCATCCCCGCCTCTTTGACCTGTCTGTTTCCTCTCCACCTATCCTCTCCATCTTCTATCTGCCTCCCACTCTCTCCCTATTTATTTCAGAACTCCCTTTTCTGATGAAGGGTCTAGGCCCGAAACGTCAGCCTTTCTGCTCCTACGATGCTGCTTGGCCTGCTGTGTTCATCCAGCCCTGCACCTTGTTGTCTCATGAGGAAATAGACTATCTTTGAGATCAAACTCTGATTAAAAGTAGCTTCAATATTATAGAAACATTTAACAATGAAAAAGTTTCAGTACTTCTATATAATTACTTTTTTCACTGTCTAAGTAAGTACCTTGCTGAAGTCCACTGTGCTGTTTTCTCTACTTGCACTATTACCCATTGTTTTTTCAATGCTCTTAGTCTCCAAGATACCTGGTGCAGATTGGGGAGATGCTAGAAGTCCTGTTATATTAAGATATATGAAGAAGAACATTTAGCAAAGTTTACATTAAATGTATATACATATATCTGAACTTGTCACAAACCAAACCATGTTAGAAATGTGTTGCAGCAATCTGTAGAATATATGTGTTTGTTAAAAAGTGATTAATGGCAGTATAAAGTGATTCACTTTATAGTGAATCAACAAAGATAGTTTGGTGCTTGTCGCAAATGTGTTGTATTATCTCAATGTATAAGCCATTCCAGTTCTTTTCTCTCCCTTGAGTGCCATTCATTAATATAAAAATTTGTACAAGAGTTAACAATAAGCTGAGATATAAGGCCGTATATAAAACAAAATCAGGTTTCAAACTGAAGTACAAAAAGAGTTCATCGCTTATTTGTACATTTGCAGGAGAAATACATGAGAAATGAAAGTCAGGAAATGACAGAATCGTCTACTCGCATATCGACATGAGGTTCAACAGCAACCTATCCACCTATCAATTTTCAATCCAGGTGAATATACCATCTTTGGAGACCTGATCACCTTCAGACACCTCAATTTAAAAGAATTTTAGTCACTGCCAATGGATGTTATATATAATTGGAAGCTGTTGACTAGTATTTATAGACATATTTAAAGAATTATGACAAAATTGAGATTTGGTCTATTGTAATAAAAATAGCATTGACTGTTACTGCCTTTTCAAATAATTAAGTGCTTACCTACTTCCTTACTGTAAGAGCTCCAGGCCACCTGGCCCAAATCATCTACTATGAGAAAACTATACTGTAGGTCAACATACAAAATCAAGAACTAATAGTGCTGTGGAAAAGAAGGTAATGCAATAGTCATTGGAGATTTTATGAACCAAATGGACGAAGGTAACCTGAAGGATGAGTTCATAGAATGCATTTGGGAGAATTTAAGACTGTTCTGGAACAACTCATGATTTAGTTAAGTCAGGCTCTGCAAGGTCTACAGCGACAGGGTTATACAATGACCTCCCGAAGCATCCTCTTAGTACATGATAACATGAGAGTGTTTCACATTCATTTTGACAGCAAGAAATTTGGTTTTGAAACTAGTATCTTAAAATATAGGCAATTACAAGGGTCTATAAAAGGAAGTTACTGCAGAGATACAGGATGCTGAGATGGTAGACACATTCGTTATATTCTTCCAAAATTCCATGGATTATAGAAAAATCCTACCAGATTTGAAAGCTACGAATGTAACACCTCTGTCAAGAGAAGATGAGAGCTAGGAAGCAGCAAATGATAAACAAATGTAGATCATTGGAAAAATGCTAGAAGCCATTAAAGAAGGAAGGTAGTAACAGGATATTTTAAAAAATCTTAATACAGAGTCTGGTACAGTCAGAAAGGGAAAACATGTTTAATAAATCTATTAGAGCTTTTTCAGGATGTAAGCAGGTTAGCTAAAAAAAAAAGGGAAAATTAGAAGATGTAGATTATCTGGATTTTCAAAAGCCATTTGACAAGGTGCCAGATAAGAAAGGTTACTGTACAAGAGAAGATCTCATGTTTTGGAAATATATATTAGCATGGATAAGGAACTGGCTAACAGGAGATGGAGTAGGGTTTAAAAAAGATCAGATTGGCACATGATCACAAGGGGAGTGTTGCAAGAATCAATGCAAGACCCTCAACAGTTTATAATCTACATCAGTAACCTGGAAGGTATCAGTTGTGTTGCAGTCCAATTTGCTGATACAAAGATAGGTAGGGAAGCAAATTGTAAAGATAAAGATATAGTAAGAATCTGAATGATTATTGATAAGTCAAGTGAGTCAGCAGGAATGAGTTTTTCCACATTAGCAAGAATTCAAAAGCAGTTTTATTTAAACAGAGAATACCATAGAATGCTACAGTAGAGAGGGATCTGAATATCCTTTCATATGAATCACAAGATAGCCTGCACATACAGAACATAATTAAGCAGAGAAATTGAATGTTCCCCCTTTATTGCAAGGAGGATGAAGTAACAAAGTCTTCCTGCAGCCACACAAAGCATTGTGAAACCACATGTAGAGTACTGCTTACAATTTTGTTTCCATATGGGAAATATTTGTGTTAGAAGTAGTTCATAGAACAGTCACTAGGTTGATTCCAGAGAAGGAATTTTGAAGATGTTTTCTTATGACAAAAAGTCAAACAGTTGGGCCTTTTCTTCTAACATAAATAAATTGGATAGTAAGGGGTCTTAATTGAGCAGATGCTGAGAGGATATTTCCCCAGCAAACCAGCCATCATCTTACTGAGCAGTGAAGCAGGCTCAAAAGGGCCAAATAGACTACAGGAGATCAGTCCTCCTAAATAGAAATAGATGACATCATTTTACACATGAATATTGGATAAGTCAGTCATTTGACTTTCTTTACTTTGGTACAGGTTACTTCAGAATGAAGCTGTCGCAGAGCTGTCTCAACTCCAAATACATGCAGCACAGTCCCATATATCAATCAACAGGATAAGTATGCTTCCAATTCACCCTACCATTAGAACATTGCTCAATGTTGCAAATATTTGCCTTTAGTTAAGAAGTAACATCAAACATGAAACCAGATTTAAATGTGCTAGTGTGCAAGTAAAGTGAAGTGATGAAAAATCGACACAAGAAGCAGGACTTGAAATTTTCTGTGAACAAGGTAATGATAAATTTCTTTGCTTTTGGATGATCCAACTATTGTTAACTAAGCAATATCATATTTCCAGTCATGCACTGCCACACACATTGAAGTCGACAACAATTTTTACCTACTAATTAAAAACTCCTAC